CGTTCTCCTAGATGAATATTCCTCAAGACAAAAATAAAAGTTTATGTTATGTGTATTTTAACTTTATATGATTTTATATAAATGGCAACCATCTCACTTTGTGCAATATATAGGTAAAATATAATTTACCTATAAACTTTGGCTTAGACAGAAATACCAAACATTACAAACACAAACATGAAAATCTACTTCATTTTAATGTATTTACTTGTAAATACAAAGGGAAGCACATTTAATATGTGTTGAAATAAAAGTATTGCATCCACTTTCTGAAACCCAATTTCCCATAGTAAATGATCCATTTCTTCATGTATGTTTTTTGTAAAACAGGAGACTATCCAATTGATAGTCCACAATTTGGCCAGGTGTGTTGTTGCTTTATTTTGCTTCCTTGGTCTTTCTGCTGGTCATGGATGATCACCCGGGCCACATTCTTCAAAAATTATTCCACCTGCAGAACAGTTAAGTATTTTCTTCCATTAGTTGACCCTTTCCTCTACACTGTGCCTGAGAACAAACTGCCAGTTAACAAATTTCATGCTTTAGGAAGTGATTTTGATTGGGAGAGATTAGCACAGAGTGCTTCCCCAAATCTATTTAAAACAGATCTTTCCTCCATTTTCAAGACTGAAATGCTACTGTCATTCCCATCAGAAGTTACAGTTCTTTTCTCTACTGTCCAGCCCATCTGGATTCATCTCTCAGCCAGATGTTCTTGATTCCCCTCAGTGTATAGTCTTTCTGTTTGTAGCATTGATAAGGGAAACAAAGCATGAGAAGAGTTGAGATCTGGATTTATTTCAGTCCTTTTCTTTCACTCCTGTACTCTTAAATTCTATTCTGTTGAAAGTTCTGTGGGAAAATATTGCATTTCATCTTACATAAAGTATAGCATAGAACAAGAACAGCATAATAGTGATTCAGAGCATGAACTTTCAAGTTAAATATTGGTTTGAATTCTTGCTCTGAGGATTACTAGCTGTGTGATCTTGGACAAATAACTAAGAATCTGTTGAGACCGTCAGTCTGACTATGTATAAATTGGGGGTAAAAAGAAATAGTGCCTACTTCATAGGATTGTTGTGAAGATTAAATGAAGTGCTTAGCTTAGTGCCCAGCATACACTAGGCATTCAGTCAAATTAGTTATTATTAGCTATTCACATGTCTGATTAGGAATGATTTTCTCTTTTGTTGAGCAAGTAATCTTTATGGCAAGAGAGGAATAGACAATCTTCAGTTGTATTCTTTTTTAATTTTTTAAATTTAAATTCAATTTGCCCACATATTGTATAACACCCAGTGCTCATCCTTCAATAGTATTCAGATAAAGATGTCACTCTGTTAGAAAGATGATCCTGTGTCATTTTCTTAAGGAGCTAAGTAATCTCCATCTTTAGACAGAGAAAGTGGTATCCTCTTTATCTTGCATTTTCCTTAATATAGAGGTTCTAAAGTCCTTTTGGTTTTGTGTTTAATTTAGACATCTGTAATCACCTATGGATGGCTTCATAAAATTTAATGGTGAAATCCTGTTTCTGTTCCAGAATTGGTCAACTCAGAAAATGTGTAGAAGTTTTTACTTGCTCTCTAAATTTTTAAATAGAAACCACCTCTATGTTGATTGAATCTTCAGGAAGCTTTTTCAGAAAGACCAATACTTACATAAATGAATCTCTTGCTGTTCTAGCAAAATATACTAAGCTTTTACCTTACACTGAAGTACATGTGAATTACATATAATTAAATTTACATATAATTTTATTCATCTGCAAATAAAGCAGTTAGTTTTCAAGTTGAACTTGAACCACCTAACCCTATTGTTGTGAATTTTATTTTTTTCACTTCCACACCATTATACTGCTGTCCCATCTATGATAGCATTTATAGAGCTTTTTGACTTTTGCTCAGTGATGATAAAGGGTTTTTGTAATCAGTCATACTTTTATTTCTGGTCCCCTGTAACCAACAGTATATGCCACTTTCATGATAACTGGAGAGTCATAATCTGTAGAATAGAATAAAGAGGATTGACTGTATCATCCAGAGTGTGTCTGCCATGACTCTCTGGGAGCTTATATTGCACCTTAGTACGGCAGTCTCCTGACCCAGCTGTATCTGTTATGCATTTCATTCTCTCAGAAAAGTTCACTGAGGTTTGTGTAAGTGATTCAAATAGAAAAGATTCTTTTCTCTTATGTTAGTTTGACTCCTGGTCTGTCTTTTACAATCAGGAATTTTTTAGGTAGCTTTGAAATAAGCAAGGGTCCCTGGCCCTCCCTTAGCCCTCCCCATGTGAAAGCACTTGCATACATTTTAAAGAACACACTTGGATTTGCTTTAAAGTATGAGCAAAAATAAATGTATCAAACCAGGAAGTTCATTCTTAAACTAGTGTTTACCAAAGAGAAACTGCCTCTGTCTCAGAAAAAGAATGACTGAAGTATGCTTGGTTGTTTTTAAGCTCTCTACAAATACACTTCTTTTGTGGATGTTGAGACCACTTTGCTTACCAGAAACCAAAGTGCCCACAGCTGTAACTTTGTCTGGTGATAGGTAGAATATTGGCCTGTATTTTTTAAGTATTTTCGTTTGGTAAAGCAGACAATTGCTGTGTTGGCAGAAGTGTGAATTTCATTTCCTGTCTGTGGTGTACCCCACTCATCCTGTCACTCAAGACATTTTGTTTTAGGTTGTTCCTGTAATGTGAGTAAGAGAGTGACCCACAGCAGGGTGACATGTGCATACCACGAACGTAACAAGAGACAAGACTTGTGAAACAGACCACAAGAGCGCAATGCTTTATTTAAAGATGAAAACAAAACAAAATAAAGGCAGCCCCTCCCAGCCGGCATACAGATTTTTAAAGTGGCAAATGGATTTTTACCTTTGTTTTTAGAAGCATGTTCTAATCTATTTGGAAAGTGAGCTCAAAAGTTTATCAGCTTCATGCCATTTAATTTGAAGATAAAATTGAGTCAATGACTAACAACATTATAGAGATGTTTTCATTTTATTTGCCAATTAACTTAACATCAAACATTTGTATTTATAATCCATTAACCTGCCACTTATATTGAGTTCTGTAACAATTATTTCTCTACATGTGAAATTACAGAATTTCTGTTTTCTTGTCCTAAATTACAATTCCTGCTGCAGTGACAGGACACATCAACTCAGTGGTTGAGTGTCTGTCTTCAGCTCAGGTCGTGATCCCGGGTCCTGGGATTGGGTCCACTTTGGGCTCCCCAGGGGGAACCTGCTTCTCCCTCTGCCTGTGTCTCTGCCTCTCTATCTATGTCTTTCATGAATAAATAAATAAATAAAATCTTTAAAAAAATAAAACCCGGGATGAATTAATTCATAAATAGCCATTGAGCACCTAATATGTGGTTGGCACTTATTTCCAATGTTTTTTTTATTTTTTTTTTTAATTTATGATAGTTACACACAGAGAGAGAGAGAGGCAGAGACACAGGCAGAGGGAGAAGCAGGCTCCATGCACCGGGAGCCCGACGCAGGATTCGATCCCAGGTCTCCAGGATCACGCCCTGGGCCAAAGGCAGGCGCCAAACCGCTGCACCACCTAGGGATCCCTTATTTCCAATGTTGAAGATACATACTAAGCAAAATAAAATCCTTGCTCTTCACTGAGCTTATATTCTATCATAAAGAGATAACCACAATCAAGTATACAAAGTAAATAAATGTAATTTTAGTAAGTAATCTATATCCTGAAGGAAACAGAATAGAACAGCAGGGTAGAGTATGATTGGGATGGGGGATTGGTGATGATGCTGGGTCTGTGACTTAAATAGTGATGGCCAGGAGAAAAGCGTCCCAAGTAGAAAATAAAAAGTACAACGTCCCTGAGAAGGGGCCTGGAATATAGAAGACACAAAAGAGACCAGTGTAACTACAGCAAACAAAAGGGAAGCTAGCGCAAAATCAGAGAAATAATATATTATTGGATGTTACAGGGCCATGAAGTCTAAACTAAAGACTTCAACTTTTACTTGTAAATATAAAGGGAAATACATTTAATATATATGTGTATTTTATATATATAAAACCCCCTTGTTTGCTCTTTGGTAAGTGGATAACAGTGATGCAGAAGTAGTTGCAGACAGACCAGTTAAAAGACTTTTTGCTGCTAGAATGTCTGGGATTAGTTTCACTTTAGGGACAAGTTGAAGAGAGTAAGAATGTAGAAGAAACAAAGATTGGCCTTGAATTAAAGCTGAAATGTGTGAGAACATGGGGGTTTATTATATTATCCTGTTTCTGTTTGTAATTTTCTATAATAAAAAGCTAAAAAAACAAAAAACACCCATGTCAGTGGTCTAAGTGAAAATTATATTACTGCTGTCCTGAACAGTACTCTAAGTCCCGTTGTACCTTTTGTTTTCTACTTGGGGCACTAAGAATTAAATTTATGATGGAGCTTTGGGAATTTTAAAAGCAACTAAAATGTTCTCAGATGTGTCTGCCAGCTTCATTTCTAGAGACACTTCTAAAGCAAAACCGAGAACTTTATACCTTGGTTGCATTTGAATTCAAAAATCCCTCTGCATAAGGGCATCACTCTAAAAAAACTGTATTCTTATTGACTCCTCACACAGCTTTGTTTTATTACCTTTGTTTTATTGATAAGGAAATTTAAGTCCCCTAAAATTCATTCAGGTAAGAATCAGCAGAGCCAGGATTCAAACCCAGGCAGTCTGGCTCCAGAGCCTTTACCGTCTTGTTTCCAGAGCCTTTCATTCTTAACTGCTACCATTTAATATATAGAGAATATTGTAAGTTTTGTTTCAGAAAAATTGTCTGGAGTAGATAGGACTATGTAAATAAAAGGATCTCTTTTGATTTTATTTTTACTTCATCCCATGAAATTGAGACTTTGGAAGATGGGCAAGAGAATAACCCCAAAATGGATCTCCATCTCACTCTGATTTTTTCCTCCTTAAATAATCCATTTCCTTTTGACTTTTTTCCTTATAGCATCAGTGAGAGCTTTCTAACTGTCAAAGGTGCTGCGCTTTTTCTACCACGGGGAAATGGCTCATCCACACCAAGAATTAGCCACAGACGCAACAAGCATGCAGGTAAAGTTCCACATACGCCACTCCTTTCTTGGTTTCTTTGCCTTTTGTTTAGTTCAAAACAGCTGACAACCTCAGTCCCATTTCTCCAACAGTCCTGTAGAACTGAAAGAAAACACTGTACTGCGCAGTAATCACTTTTCTCCCACTATTTTTCTGGCACTTAGCAAAACTTGTTTTATGTATGTGTGTGTGTATCAATAAATTTGTGTTAGAAACATATATTATGAATATATAGAAGTATATATATATATATCTCAATCAATTTGTGTTGGAAAAATAATAAGGTACAGAAATACTCTAATTCTTATGTGACTTTTCAATTAAGGTTTCCCAGTAGCAAATACCCAGTTTGCTTATTGGCAGTACTTTTCACTGACAAACCTTAGCTTCCACATACCCAACTCACATAAGAAGCTTTACAGTAGGGATAGGGCTTCTTAAATTTTACCTGAACCTCCAAGAAGCCAGCTGGATCTTTGGGCCAATAGCACTTGGTGTAGGGACTTAGGGCCACTATCTGCCCAGAAATGGCTCTCGTCTACAAGTTCTCCATCTTAAAAATCCTGTCCTCCAGTCATTTTACTGATAGAACAGAAGGAATCTTAATTTTTAAAAAGCCTCAGCTGCTTAGCTCAATTATAACATGTATCTTAAGTCACTCTTCATTGTTTATACCTAACACTTTGTCTCCTTTTTTTTAAGACAGTTTTAGTAAAATACCATTCATATGCCATGTAATTCACTAGTTTACTCATTTAAAGTATACATTCAGTGGTGGGTTTTTTTAGTATAGAAAAAATCATCACTATAATTTTATTTTTTTTTAATTTTTTTTATTTTTATTTTATTTATGATAATCACACAGAGAGAGAGGCAGAGACACAGGCAGAGGGAGAAGCAGGCTCCATGCACCAGGAGCCCGACGTGGGATTCGATCCTGGGTCTCCAGGATCGTGCCCTGGGCCAAAGGCAGGCGCCAAACCGCTGCACCACCCAGGGATCCCACATCACTATAATTTTAGAACATTTTATCACCCCTAGAAGAAACCCAGTTACCCATTAGCAGTCATTCCCTATATCCTCCACCCTCCCTGCCAGTTCTACTAAACAACCACTAATCTACTTTCTCGGTATATAGATTTACTCATTCTGAGTGTTCCATAGAAGTTCCATATATAAGAATTATATAAATGGCCTTTTGAGACAGGCTCTTTTCATTTAGCATAATGTTTTCAGGAGTCATTTACATTATAGTATGTGTCAGTACTCCATTCCTTTTTATGACCAAACAATATTCTAGTGTGTAGATATACCACATTTTATTTTTCCATTCACCAGTTAATAGACTTTTGAGTTGTTTCCAATTTTTGACTGTTAATGAATAATGCTACTATGAATCTTTATAAGTTCTTGTGTAGACATGTTTTCATTTCTCTTGGCTTTATACCTGTGAGCCCATACTGGTTCTTACACGTGAGACTAAGATTGTGTCTCTGGGTTTGAAATGTGGTAGAACAGACCTGGCCAAACATAATGATTCTCCTTTTTAATTTTGAAAGTTGAAAGATTCTGCAGTAATGGAATCAGTGAGAAGCCAGCATTGAAATGGGGGTGGGGATGGGGGGCAAGAAAACTATTCTTTAAGAGAAGGAAACATCAGGGGAAAAGGAGCTTTCAGACTTGCTGCCCTTTTAAACAAATACCTGTTCGCTAATCTACTTCTCTTTCTTCTTGCCCCTCACCGCTTCTTGCACATATTAGTATTTCCTCTCACAGTTACAGTTGAAGTTACCTGGAGGAAGATTTTGTATGTAGATTTCAAGACAAATGTAAGAACAGGTTCCACTGGCATCTATGATCAAGTGGCTATGTCAGTCACTTTAGACTCTTAAAAAAGCTGGACCTGGGTGGGCATGAAATGAAGTTTTTTGTTCTTGGATTGTCATCATTTATAACAGTACGTTATCTAATTATCTCCTACTAGCCAAAGCTTTCTAGCATAGAATAGGAAGTATAAGGAAATCTATAATACTTTAATACAAAAAAATTTTCAATTTAGTTTTGTGGAATGTATAGAAACAAATGTGTATTCAAATAATGGTTGGCCATGTTAAAATACCTAACATTAGGTTCAATGGAATATATATTTCTTGGGATCCACAATATTTAATGAATACTCTTACTTTAATATCAGCCACTAATAACAGAAATCATTTTAAACCATTGACATTATTCTAAGGGGAAGCTAAAAATCTTATGTTAAGTGGAACTGAAGATTTACAGAAATTAGAATGGCAAAATAGTTAGCCTTTTGTAAAGCTAGATTTAATTCTAACGCCATTCATCACACACCCCATTTTCAGGATTCCCTCCTTACCACTTTTAGTGGGCCTGAAAGCACAGCCCTGCAGATCTCACCATTGCTTTCATCAACATCCACAATAGTTTGGAACTGAGATTGGTTTCAAGTGCACCTCCCATTGGACAAACATAAAGCGAATTTCAATATAGTATAGGCTAAAAGTGAATGTATAGAAATACAGTCTACCATCTGTCTTTCCACTTAAAAAAGAAGTTAATAATTAATAAAGACATTTAATTTCTGTGTCTAATTGTAGTCCTTCAGTGACCCAGAACTTTCTTTTATATAGGTTATTAAGATAGAAGGAATCCTCTCTGTTGACATTACAATGGAGAATAACTATTTTTTGTTTCATAAATTTCACCAGGTGATCTCCAACAGCATCTCCAAGCAATGTTCATATTACTCCGACCAGAAGATAATATCAGGCTGGTAAGTTAGTGTTATCATTATAACTCTTACTCAAAAGACTGTCAAGATGGCAGACATTAAGCAGTCATTTTTAATGTCCCAACAGAGTGCTGGAAACTATGTGGAACAAAAAAGAGTAACATGCCAGCTCCATCAAAGAGCTTAGAATAATAATTAAAAAAAAAAAAAAAGAGAGAGAGAGCTTAGAATATAATTGGGGATATGAGCTAATGTAAAATGATGTGAAATAAATTGATTATTCAAGGCTGTTGATAAGCACCAGCTTGTGAGTTATTGACCATAACAAAAACTAAAGTTCAAAAGAAAGAATACTTTGAGACTTGCCCTAGTTAGAAGGGTTTTATGTGTACAGCTGACCTTGAGCTGGGTCTTAAAAGATGATGAATTTAGATTGGCAAAGAGAAAGAAGACAGTCCTTCTAGATGAGGGTATGACTGAGGCAAAAGACATGTAAGGGACAAGGAGAGAGAGTAAAAGGGCCAGGGATTTGTGCTGGTCTTAGAGTGAGGAGACCTGGGCTCAGGTCTTGGACAAGTTACTTAGTTTGTCTCAGCCTGCTTCCTCTCATCTCCTTTCTACATCTCATAGTCAAGAGGATCAAATGGATATGAAAGCATATTGAGAAGTATAAAATGCTGCCCAAATCTGGGGATTATTGTTACCATAAGGAAGATTAGATACCAGAAAACTAAGGCAGGCAGATAGGGATTTAATGCTTCAAACTAGAGGTTTCAAACTGACAGATCTGTTTTGTTTGGACCTCATTGGTGGTGTTTTTCACTCTGAGCCAGAATTTCAAAATTTTAAAATGGAATTTTACATAAAAAACCATAATTGGAGCTTGACTTCAAAATATAAAATTCTGGCAACACTGGGACCTTATTCTCACATGACAAAACTTGCTAGACCTGGAGGGGCAGACATGGGTATGGCCTGGGCTCTTAATTTACCATAATTCCCCTATATCCTATTGTCTCCTAGACTGTAAAGCCAAGTGTCACCATTTGTCATCATTTCTTCACTGTTAGTTTTCTTTTAGAATATTTAATTAAAATAGGAAAACAAAAATGAGATGATATGTTTCTTTATGAAGAGTAAAGAGCATTTCTACCCATTTAATATTCATATGGCCTACTTCACTCATTTATATTCCCTATCTGACCCTCTAGATAGATTAATACTTGAAGATAATACCTCTGCCTCTTCAGTAAGCAGTAGTGTGAAACATTACAAGGTTTTGAGCAAAGAATTACATGGAATAGCTACAATATTTAAGAGAGTGGCACCTGGCTTGCTCAGTCAGTAGAGTATCCAACTCTTGGTCTCTGCTTGTGAGTTTGAGCCCCACGTTGGTTGTAGAGATTACTAAGAGAGAGAGATTCTTCAGAGGTAATACAGAATAGTAGGGAGGAGGAAGCCATCTTAAGTCATGGAGGTCTACTAGGTAGTTATTGCACCACTAATCTAAGCCTGTGGTGATGGGCCCTTCTAGGTTGGGGTGGTAATTTGGAAATTGGGTTTCTGTCAGCATGTTAAATTCAAATGGTTGATCTCTGCTTTTTCAATGGGAAGAAAGAAAATGAGTAGAATACAAGAATAACTGTAGGGATCCCTGGGTGGCACAGCAGTTTAGCGCCTGCCTTTGGCCCAGGGCACGATCCTGGAGACCCTGGATCAAATCCCACATCGGGCTCCCGGTGCATGAAGCCTGCTTCTCTCTCTGCCTATGTCTCTGCCTCTCTCTCTCTCTCACTGTGTGCCTATCATAAATAAATTTTAAAAAAATTAAAAAAAAAACAAGAATGACTGTAAAAAAATTGATGATCAGGTCTCTGAATTCAGTGGTAATTAACTGATTTTTCACTCAATCATTCTGTGTTCAAATTGTCATTTTTTTCTCTCATATGCTGCCTGTATCACTTTCTTAAAATGGTGACAAATTTTTGTTGAGTGAGAAATTTCCCTTGAAATTTAAAGAATATGAAATAAGAAATTTAAAGAATATGAAATAAGAAATCCTTACACAGGGTCACCTGGGTGGCTCAGTGGTTGAGCATCTGCCTTCAGCTCAGGGCAGGATCCTGGGTCTAGGGATCAAGTCCCACATTGGGCTCCCTGCAAGGAGCCTGCTTCTCCCTCTGCCTGTGTTTCTGCCTCTGTGTGTGTGTGTGTGTCTCTCATGAATAAGTGAATAAAAAAAAAAAAGAAAAGCTTACACAATTATTTTTTATCCTAATCTGAAAAATCACAGCATACATTTATGTAAATCTTGTCTATATTTTTATATACTTCTATCTTAAACACTCTTTATAAGTGAACAAAGTGGGGTACAGTTCTTATAGGATTAATATTCTAAAGCAGTGATACTCAAACCTTAGAGTATATCAGAATCACCTGCAGAGCTTTGTTGAACTGCCATTTGCTGGACTCCACACACAGCATTTGATCTGGGGAGAGGAAGGCAGTAAAAATTTGCATTTTTAACAAGTCTTCCAGTGATGTTGATGCTGCTTATCCAGGAGTCACATTTTGAGAACACCTCCTCTAAAATCCGTAATGGTCACTTGCACATACTTGATGTCCATTAGATACACGTTTATAGTTTCCAAAACTTTTGTGGTTTGGTAGAGTTTGAGATCTGTCATCACTTTATCTTTTTCTCCTTGATAACCTTCTGGAGTTTAGCTTGCACTTCTAAATGTTAAAATAATTTTAACCACAGGAGAGCATTAAGGAAGCAGTTAGGAAGGCACAGTTGGTGGGACGCCTGGGTGGGTCAGTGGTCGAGTGTCTGCCTTTGGTCCAGGACTTGATCCTGGAGTCCTGGGATCGAGTCCCACATTGGGCTTTCTGCATGCAGCCTGCTTCTCCCTCTGCCTATGTCTCTGCCTCTCTCTCTGTGTGTCTTTCATGAATAAATAAATAAATAAAATCTTAAAAAAAAAAAAAAGAAGACAGAGTTGGCAATTAGCTTTTTTCTTGCCTTGCTAAATAAACTATGCAGCTTCAGCTGCTTTACATTTATAAGATATAAATTCAGAAAATGTAACTGATGCTTCTGAATTAATGGCAAGCCATTTTACAGTTGTTTTGAATTGTTACAAACACATAGTCATTATGTTTCAGATTATTGAGTGAGTCATCTTCAAGAAAATGAGTGAATACATTGTATGACTTTGGACAAATTAGCACTTTTCTAACTGAAAGGAGCATTTGTATAGTCAAAGCAAGGCCTTTTGTTTTGAGTTAAATTTGGAATGCCAAAATTCTCATTCTGGGGCTTGTGCATAAGGTTAAAAGTTTGATAGTCAACTGAAAGCCCTGCCTTTATTTTTTTAACAACCCAACAACAGATAGTGGCACCAAATCCCACATTTAGCGTTGAAAATCAGACTAAACCATTTTTTCCTCCAGGGAAGCTCTGCATTCCAAATACAGTATCAAGCAGTAACTTCAGTACTTAGAAAACCATAGCTGGCGAAATGAAGACTGGTTTTTTAGTACTCTTGCACATTATCAAAGACCCATTTAATAAAAAAATAGACTGGGAAATGAAAAACTTACCTAACATTTGAAGTAATTTTAACTAATGTTCTTAACCAGAGCTAAGGTGCTGATAAGGTACAAGGAGATGTTTTTTTGAGTAATTTGCAGTAGAGTTTTAAAAAATAAGGACTTTTGGGGTTTTGTTTTTTATAGTACATTGATATTTTCCCCAAATGAAAATGGGTTTGTTTTTTTCTAAACATAAAATTTTCAAAACTCATACAATACAGGAAGGTATAAAGAAGAAAGTAAAAATCACTGTATATCCTACACTCTGAGAAAACCATTCTTAGCAACTTGGATAAGCATCCTTCTGGTCTTTCGTGTGTGTGTGTGTGTGTGTGTGTGTGTGTGTGAGAGAGAGAGAGAGAGAGAGAGAGAGAGAGAGAGAGAGAGAGAATTGTCAGAGTATATCAGATTCTCTGACCTTTGCTCTTACTAAAGTGGATCAATAATGAAAATAGCCAAATCTGAGTATCAGAAGACATACTAGTCTCCCTGATTGATCTCTGTAGTTCTGAGAAGCCAAAGTACAAAGTAATTTAAAACAGTAAGACTTGGGGTTCCTGATTGACTTGGTTAAGCAGCCAACTTTTGATTTTGGCTCAGGTCATGATCTCAAGGTTGTAGGATTGAGCCCTGCATCAAGCTCCACACTCAGCGTGGAGTCTGCTTGTCCTTTTTCCTCTGCTCCTTTCCACTCATCATGCTTACTCTCTCTCTCTCTCTCTCTCTCTCTCTCTCTCTCACACATATACATACATACATACATAAAATCTTTAAAACAATAAGACTTATGTCTGAGGGTGAGGAGGGGTGTTTGTGCGTGTTTAAAAGGTGACATTGTAGGGGCACCTGGGTGGCTTTGTTGGTTAAGCATCTGCCTTCTTCTCAGGTCATGATCCCAGGGTCCTGGGATTGAGCCTGGCATCTGGCTCCTTGATCAGCAGGAGCCTGCTTCTCCCTCTCCCTCTGCCTGCCACTCCACTTGCTTGTGCTCTCTCTGTCAAATAAATAAATAAAACCTTAAAAAAAAAAAAGTGACAGTAGATAACAAGACTTGCTCATGGATGAATGAGATTGGGGGAAATGTGTGTGTATATGAAAGGCTAATCAGTTTTGAGCAATGGACAAAAAGGTTTTACTACTGATCTTTATAACTATGAAGGTTTCGACAATTGATTTGAGCTCAGAATTGAACAGAGAAAACAATATGTGTCAGAGCACTTTTTTTTAACAAAAATGAGATAAAAATATAAATGCTGACTTATAACCTGCTTACTTCACACTTTATTTTGAATATCTTTCCATGTCAACAAATCTGTTTTTTTTAAACAAATCTGTTTTTAATGGCTACACAGAATATAATACATTTTTTTAACTTAAGAATTTCATGATGATAGGCTAAAAAAAATGAATCCTAAGACTCCCTCAAGCTCTGTTTCTTTTGAAAACAGTGTTCTTTAGCTTATTAGTGTCACATCTGAAGTCTATTTTAATTTTAGATAATGACTTTGCTTTGTTCTTTTGGCTAGAATTTAATATTTACATACTTTTGAAACCTTTCTCTGATGAATTGGGTGAGCTGCCTGTCTAGACATTGGGACTTTATAATGTGGCTTCCTTGAGGATAAACATTGCATGCAGTGGCATGATGTAAGACTCTTGGTGAAAAGAAATTAAAGGCAAAGGTGCAGTGTAAGCTTAAGGAATAGTATTTCTTGATGTTACTGAGGACAGAAGTTATTTTATCAGGTTACTGTTTGTGAACTGCTTGTAATCAAATTACAAAATTAGTCACTGAGAGAAGTTTTAACATCATTCTTTGATAGATGAGCTTTGCAAACAGGTTGACATCTTATCAGAAATAAAGCAGAGGCAGATGACTTCTCAGACCTACCTCAATCCTCAGATTGCTGAATTAAGTTCACCTGACACTTGTAATAGGTTTCCAAATTTAAGCAATAATTGAACTTTCTTGGAATAATTTCATAGTTGCTGTTGTTGCCAATATTTATTTAAAATTCAAAATATTACTTTGGACAATTAGAATAAACTTCAGTGATATCTTTTTTTAGTGAGAACTGGAGTTAATCAAATGCACCTGAGTTGTCTTATTTCAGTTGTCAATTCCATGTAAATTTTGGAGGAATTTAAGGAAACACTGGACTTGCTGCCAATTCTAATGTTAGGGTATTATGTACAAACTGCCATTTTTAATTACATGTCTCTGATTAACTTGATGAATTAGGTTATTAGATTTTGTCAATCTTCTTCCTAACAGGAATATGAAATAAACCTCTAAACCAGTTGGGTATTAGGTTTTTCTTTATGCTGTGGCTCTTAAATTTTTAATTTCTTAACCTTGAATCTTGAAGCCTAAAAGGGAATTTGAAAGCTCAGATCCATCCTCAGCATTGCAATTTTTTCTATAAGAAATTTCATCTCAACCTTCTTTAGGATATAGGTGTTGAATTAACGTCATGGCTTTTGACCCCCTGATTAAAGCTCTACTTCCTTTTAGTAAGAATTAATTGGGTACCTAGCTGGCTCAGTTGGTAGAGCATGCAACTCTTCATCTCAGGGTTGTAAATTCAAGCCCTACGTTGGATGTAAAGATTACTTAAAAATAAAATCTTTAGAAAAAAAGAACAATTACATTGTTACTCTCTAGAGGTCTGTAATCAAATCCCAAGGCCTCAAAATGCCTTTCTTCCGGGTAAGAAGCTTGGAATTGAAAAAATCTTGAGTTGCACCTATTACTCAATTCTAAATCAATGTAAAATGACTAGGGTCTTCCCCATTAGGTTTGGGACCTGATGTTATGATTATATTAATTAGCAAGGGAAGGCCTAACATTTGAAATGCTCTTGATATTATGAGTAAATAAACACACCTCATTTTTAAAAAAGAGATAACTAATATTTGCCCTGAATATCCAAAACAAACAAACAAACAAACGCTTGCTTACCTGCTAATTTAGCCTGATAACTTATACGATGGGTGATATTTGTGGAGGTTGTTTCTTTTCTCTTTTTATCAGTTTCCACTTAGCCAGTCAGTTGCCACTGGTTGGTGTAGAAGCTGTGGATAAATTATCAGGAGCACAGTTCAGTTGTTCCCATTCCATTTGTGTTTGATCCTTGCCAGAAATTCTTAGAGCCTTGACAGAGGATAAAAGAGCCTCTAACATATTCAGGAAACCGAACTAAAGTTAGCTCAGAGCTTGCTGAGGCAAGCCCAAGTTTAGATATATGATAATATCTGAGATCTGTTTATAAAAGATTCTAGTTTACCTACAACCGGGTTTCTGAATAGTTTAATATTTTATGATGTGTTCCTAGAATCAGAGAGTCTGTGCTGCCTTTCAGGCCTCCTTACGTGTATTTACTAGTATCCATAGCTGTATGTGTATAATGCTTGTTTAACCCAGCCCACTAGGGTTAGACCTTCATCTATTTAAATATTAGTTCTTAGCTTCTCACAAATGAATTTGGTTTCTTTGTTACTTTATGGGACATAAAGTTAGCAATACAGCTCTCTACCTTGTGTACTTAGAATGGTAGGCATTACTTTCTTGTTGCATCAGCACCTATTAGAAACAAGCTTTAATGTGGCAAATTCTGCCTTTGGTGCTTCCCTACTTTTTTCTAGGAGTATCAGAACAGAAAGGAAGAAATAGCCACTGGAGTCTCACCTCTGCCTTGCTAAATGGCTCACTTAAGCCATGTGACTGGGTCTCTTTTATTCTTTGCCTGGCTACTTTTTTTTTTTTTTCCTGGCTACTTTTGAATTAGTGACAGAATTGAGGGAAAGGAGAAGCACTGAAAGAATCCTGAATAGAAATTTCTGCCCCATTTTTGAGAGATGTCTTAAGCCAGTTGATGAGATTGAAACTCTGTGTCTCTTCTGAAATAAGGAGTGGGGGGTATTTTATACAGAGTAAATTGCCTTTAGTACACAAGTTTCCTGGCTATTTATTAACACATTAAAAGAAGAGTGACCCAGAATGTATGTTCTGTGAAGGCAAGGACCATCTGGTTGCCTTCAGCGGGGAGTCTGCTTTTCCCTCTCCCTCAGCCCCTTCACCCCCCTCATACTCTCTGTCATTCTTTCTATAAAATAATAAATAAAATAAAATAAAATAAAATAAAATAAAATAAAATAAAATAAAATAAAATAAAATAAAATAAAATTAACTATTGAGATATAATTGACATTCAAAAAGTTGTACATATTTAATATATACAGCTGGATGAGTTTGGAGATAAATATACATCCATGAAACCATCACCACAATCTATGCCATAAACATGTCCATCATTTCCCAAAGTTGCCTCCAGTTCTATTAATAATAGTTACTATTATAAGGACACTTAATATAAGACCTCTCTTAACAAAATTTTTAATAGATGTTTTTGGGGAGCACTTTTAGGAAAATTGAGCAGAAGGTACAGAGATTTCCCATATATCCTCTAGCCCCACACATGCATAGTCTCCCTCATTATCATCATTCCCCCCACCAGAGTTGTACATTTATTAACAATTGATGGACCTACATTGACACATCATTATTACTCAAAGTCCATAGTTTACATTAGGGTTCAGTCTTGGTGGTGTACATTCTGTGAGTTTTGACAACTGTATAATGACATGGACCTATCACTTTGGGTATTATACAGAGTAGTTTCACTGCTCTGAAAACTGTTCCCCTACACACCATGGCAACTACTGATCTTTTTACTGGCTTCATAGTTTTGCCTTTTCAGAATGTCATATAGTTGGAATCATACAATATATAGCCTCTTGGGGTGCTTGGGTGGCTCAGTTGGTTAAGTGTCTGCTTTCGGCTCAGGTCATGATCTCAGGGTCCCTGCTCAGCAGGGAGTTGTTTCTCCCTCCCCCTCCCTCTCTCCCCACTTGTGCTCCCGCTCTCTCTCATTCTCTCTCAAATTAAAAAAAAAATAGGGGATCCCTGGGTGGCGCAGTGGTTTGGCGCCTGCCTTTGGCCCAGGGCGCGATCCTGGAGACCCGGGATCGAATCCCACATCGGGCTCCCGGTGCATGGAGCCTGCTTCTCCCTCTGCCTGTGTCTCTGCCTCTCTCTCTCTCTCTGTGACTATCATAAATAAATAAATAAAAATTTAAAAAAAAAAATTAAAAAAAAATATATTCTTAATTTGTAGCCTCTTTTTTTTTTAAGATTTTATTTATTCATTCATGAGAATAAAGAGAGAGAGAGAGGCAGAGACACAGGCAGAGAGAAAAGTAGGCTCCATGCAGGGAACCCGATATGGGACTCGATCCCTGGACTCCAGGATCATGCTCTGGGCTGAAAGCAGGCACTCAACCACTGAGCTACCAGGGCTTCCCTGTAGCCTCTTTAGATTGGCTCCTGTCACATAGTAATATAAGTAAGTAATATAAACAGTAAATATAAGTAATAATTTAAGATTCCTCATGTCTTTTCATGGCTTTTTAGCTCATTTCTTTTTAGTGCTGAATAATGTTCCATTGTCTGGATGTATTTAATTTATCCGTTCACCTACTGAAGGACATCTTGGTTGCTACCCATTGTTGGAATATATTAAAGTACAACCTTAAAATGGCACCATGTTATTTTACTCCAGGTACTTAAGAAAAAGGTGTAACTACAGTGTCATTGTAACACTAACAGTAAATCCTTAATATCATTAAGACACTGTCCATATTCAAATGTTCAGAAGGCCCTTTTAAAATACTATAAACAAGCAATAAATAAAAATTTTTTGACAAAAAGTAATATAAGCCTCTGAAAAAGCAATTTCTTTATCACTGAAACTAAAGAAGGAAATCTTGTAGTGTATAATCTGTAAGATTTCAATAGAGTGTACTCCTTTTATATTAATAGCTTGCTTTGTATTATAATTGTTTATAGGACTTGTATCTATGAGTCCAATGCTCACATTCATATACCTCACATTTCCCTCTTCAGTCTTTAGAACATGCCCTGATAGTTCTTATTATAAATTACGCTAGTAGCCAGTATTTATTGAGCTTTTACTATATGCCAAGCACGGTGCTTTATATTCACTATTTCATATGATTCTTATAATCCAATAGGATAGGTATTATTTTATCTCCCTCCAATTAATTTAGTAACTTACTGAAGGTTTCATAGTTAATACATGAGCTGGAATTTGAATTTAAGTCTTCCTGAGCATGCTTTAAGATGCTGAGTAAAAAAGGTTGAATGATCTAAAAATGACCTTCTAAATTTCCTAATATATCTGTTGTCTGTTAACTTCCAGGCTGTAAGACTAGAGAGTACTTACCAGAATAGAACACGCTATATGGTAGTGGTTTCAACTAATGGTAGACAAGACACTGAAGAAAGCATCGTCCTAGGAATGGATTTCTCTTCTAATGACAGGTATGGTACCACAAAAGGAAGGATGAGAAAACTCCTTTTTAAATAAAAATTCCAGTTGCCTTTTGGGTTACTACAAAAACATCTTATGTCATTCTACTCTTAAAGTTCAATGCCTAAAACTACGGAGTACAAAAGTATCTTAGCCATACAGTCTTGAGAGATGAAAATGATTAGCGAATGTCTTTGGTTATGTTCCTAATGTATCACTCTTCCTTACCTTCCTCTCATCCTTAGGTGGTAATGAATATAAAGCAAATGATTTAAACTTATTATCTCCAGGAATAAAAAGCTGCATTTTCTTTGTCATTAACTTTATTTTAGAATCACTTTGCTGATTCTAGAACATGTACCCTTTGTGATAGTGTACCATCAGGTCTTGGGTTCAAAGAGGCCCCTACTTTAATCTCTCATATTTATTCATGGCCTTATACCTTGCTTTTACCGAATGTTTTTGCTTCCTTTTTCCTTCTGAGTTAAAAGGACAGAGTTGATTCTTTAAACTCAGAACAGAACCTTTTATAATCATGCACTTTTGGCTTTAGCAGTACTTTGCATCCTGTAATTAAAGGTATCATACCGCACTCGGAACCTGGCTCTTTTGTGCCCCCTAAAGTTTATTGCTTTCCTTTTTTATTTTCCTACTTCTTCTGGAGAAACCTTAGGAAGACTGCGGAATGTGGCTAAGCAGATCTTTGCTCTCTACATAATAAGCCTCAGGAAATCCTGCCAGATGTCTCAAAGCATTGACTTCCTGGTTTAGAACTAGAATGGAACTGTGGAGTAGCTAGCAGCATGACCCAGCCCTGGGAGAATTTAGCCACAAAGAAGAGGCTGGGAGTGATTCTAATTGTTCTGCTGTTGGGAAGAAAAGAATCACATTGTCATTAGAAGATTTTCTAAACAAGTGTTTACCTAAGCTTGTATAGTCAACCTGAAAATTATTTGTGGTTTCACAAGGATCACAAGGCCAGAGTCGTTACCTCGTATAACTCTTACAGCCTTTAATTTTATGCTCTGAAATTGCACAGGCTTGTAAACCACACTTAGGTTTTCTCTACATAGATTTAACCTCTGATGTTAGCTAAGCAACAGACCTTTTGGTAAGCACTTCTCCTTTAAGAGCACCTACCTTGCTACATTCATTAGTATTTTAAGACCTCTGATTTGGATTTTTCTCTCTCCATCTATGCTGTCCGTACAATAGTTGCTAACCACATGGTGACTATTTAAAGAAGTTAAACAAAATTTAAATTTCAGTTCCTCAATCACAGCTAGCCACATTTCAAGTACTCTAGTGATATGTGACTAGTGGCTACTGTATTGGACAGTATATACATAGAACACTTACATCATTGCAGAAAGTTCAGGTGGACAGTGCTACTCTGTATCTTATTTCCTTTGGTTTTTCCTGACTCCTCCTTTGGAAACCCAATAAAACAAGAACTGGGACTGCATGGAAACTTCACTTCAGCCTTGCCCTAGAAATATAAGGCGACAACTTCAGATTCTCCTGATCCAGTGTCTTAAGAAATCAGATGTGTGGGCAGCCCGGGTGGCTCAGCGGTTTGGCGCCTGCCTTTGGCCCAGGGTGTGATCTGGGAGTCCCGGGATCGAGTCCTGTGTCGGGCTCCCAGCATGGAGCCTGCTTCTCCCTCTGCCTGTGTCTCTGCCTCTCTCTCTCTCTCTCTCTCTCTCTCTCTCTCACTCTGTCATAAATAAATAAATAAATCTTTAAAAAATATATTTATGATAAAGTAGGTTTTGTTACCTGCATTTTAAGATGAAGTAATTAAAGGACGCCTGGGTGGCCCAGTGGTTGAGCATCTGCCTTTGGCTTTGGCTCCGGTAGTGATCCTGGGGTCCTGGGATTGAGTTCTACTTCAGGCTCTCTGTAGGGAGCCTGCTTCTCCCTCAGCTGGTGTCTCTGTGTCTCTCATGAATAAATACATACAATCTTTAAAAAAAAAAAAAAAGATGGAGAGACAGTGAATAGCTTGTCAAAAGGGACTGAAATACTGAAGATCAAATCCAGATGTTTTGACAAGATGTAACTGCCCAGTAAGTGGTAGTTGTTATTATGTTTGGTGCTGTTATATACACTTTTCAGTGTGTTACCTAATGTAATCTTCAAAAACAGCCCAATCAAGAAGGTATATATTTATTCAGTTTTATAGATGAGGAAACTGGAGCACAAAGCAATTAAATAATTTGCCTAAAATTATGCAGTAGTGCTAGAACTCAGGGTCCAGAGCCCATCTGATTTTGGAGCCTGTGCTCTTAATCATACTTCGCTGTTCTGCCTCCTGTGTGTAAGGTTCCTTCTACTATACCATACTGCTTTTCTAGCTACACTGGCAGGAAGAGGGTGTCAGAGCCTTTGGGAGACTGGATAGAAGAGGGAAATGGTTTACAGTTGCCTTAAGAAGAGAAAGTGGCAGAGATCGGGGATAGATTACAGTTGTCCAGAGGAATGGTGTGTTAGAGACACAATTGGGAGTCCCTGGCATCCTATTCCAACCTGTTCCATTAGCTTAAAGCTAGTTTCCTCCCTGGGTTAATGCGTGATTTAAATAGGATTTTAATTTACTGTATTGGGGCTACCCTTTTGTTGCTTGCAGACAATTCTATTCACTCTGCATTTCAGCAGTGCTAGGCTAGTTCAGTATACTGCCACCAAGTACTGTTTTACTTAAGTTGTATTGAGTGTATTTTGTCTAACTTGATCACAAACCATTAACAATTACTTTTTAAAGTATTTTAATTCCCTTTCCCTTTTAGAGTATTGAATGTGTTCTAATGTTCAATAACTACATAAACCTCAGGATTAAATTTGGACAAATTATGTATTCAGAGGTCTTCAGCAACCAGAAATAGTTCTTAGCATTAGAAATAATTTGTAGGGATCCCTGGGTGGCGCAGTGGTTTGGCGCCTGTCTTTGGCCCAGGGCGCAATCCTGGAGACCCGGGATCGAATCCCACGTTGGGCTCCCGGTGCATGGAGCCTGCTTCTCCCTCTGCCTGTGTCTCTGCCTCTCTCTCTCTCTCTCTGACTGTCATAAATAAATTTAAAAAAAAAAAGAAATAATTTTTAGAGTTGAATTGGAGTCTGTGACCTTGAGGTGAAGCCTACCAATCACAAGTTAGCAGCAGTCACCTGGATTTTTTAGACAGTGTCCATTTTTGAAATAGCAATACAAGGAGCTCAGTCAGTAAGTTTTCTTTGTTAAATACATAAGGACTTGACTACTTGTTTGATACAGCTCCAGAGCACATGCATTACATTGAAAGTAATATGATAGTAATTCCTCCACTCTAACACGACAGAATTTAGAGTTTAGGGGTTTTATCCTTTGTGTTGAAAGAGTAAACTGCTTCCTAGAGTAACAGGAATTAACCTATACACTATTTCTTGTCTTGTCTTACAGTAGTACTTGTACCATGGGCTTAGTCCTGCCCCTCTGGAGTGATACCCTAATTCATTTGGATGGTGATGGGTAAGAGCTTTCCCTTTTTATTCTCCTATAGAAAGCCAAGGGGTGAGGTTCCATCTTCGTGCCCATTCATTAAGCTGATTGGGAGGCCCAGTGTGCCCAAGTGAACTGTCATGTCAGCAACTCAGTGAGTCCTTTTAAACTCCTGTTTTGGGGATCCCTGGGTGGCTCAGCGATTTAGCGCCTGCCTTTGGCCCAGGGCGCGATCCTGGAGTCCCGGGATCGAGTCCCACGTCGGGCTCCCGGCATGGAGCCTGCTTCTCCCTCCTCCTGTGTCTCTGCCTCTCTCTCTCTCTCTCTCTCTCTCTCTCTCTCTCTCTGTGTGTGTGTGTGTGTGTGTGTTTATCATGAATAAATAAATAAATAAAATAAATAAATCTTAAAAAAAAAAAACTACTGTTTTGTAAAGTGGAGTAAAAATACAACTTGCCAGGACCTCTTACTTCTGTTCTTCTAGGCTGACTACAGTAAGAATCCAAACAAAGAAAAACTAGTTTGTTGGCTCACTCTTCAACCTGAACATGTGGGACTGTTGCAATGCTCTCCCAGAGGATGATATGTTCTGTTTCAAATAACCTCTTGCTGCCTCTGCCAGCTGTCAGCCTACAGTATAACCCCATTCCTGTGCCAATTCCTTCCAGTGACCCTCCACCCCCACCTCCTGGTGTTTTTAGAATGTGTCCCCAAGAGACCAAGATGTTTGCTCCAGTTTATAAAACCAGGGTCAGGTTTGCTAAGAACCCACAAGGCTTCCAAATAGAAATATATAGCAGAACAGTTTGTAGCTACAGCTGGGAAATTATATGTAATTCCCCAATTCCAGTGTGGGAGTCCATTCATTTTGCTTGGTAGATAAAATCAGACAATTTGTTGAAGCTTTTCAATCAAGTCCTGTACTCTAGTTAACTTCTACATGAAGTGCCTGATGATTTCTTCCATTGAGCCAGCAGTTGCTAGCCTGGGAAATGACCTTGAAAATTCACAACTGAAATAAGCTACTCTCATTTGTGGATTTTTATCTCATTCTTTTTTTTTTTCTTCCCTTAGTGGGTTCAGTGTATCAACGGATAACAGAGTGCATATATTCAAACCTGTATCTGTACAGGCAATGTGGTAAGAGGACTTTTAATGTCTCTATAAAGGTTTTTGGGGTTTTTTTCTGTGAAAGTTTTTAAATATATTATTGGGGCAATATTTTGTAAGTAGTAATATTTGAAATAGTACAGTTCTCTATGAAAATGCTGTATGATCTGTGTGTGGTTTTTTGTTTGATGTGTTTGTGTGTCCCTCATAGTTAAAGATGACCTAGGAGCTCAGTTTTCAAATTATCATAGTGGAAGTCCTTAAGCACTGGTGAACAAGTAAAATTCAGAGGTGTTCTTAGACTCTGGAAGATACTTAATGGGTCAGATTGCTGGTTGGAACAGTTTTATCGGGACACATTGATTAAGTTAGTGGCAGTCTAGAGCCATATCTAGAATATCATACTACTACAGTGCATTAGTGTTTAATTTCTTAAAGTAATCAGGGATACTATTAATAGATAAGTTTCCATTAAAATTTCTGATGACTATAAGACTGCAAAATGCAAATAAAGCCGAAACATTATAAATGTTAATAACCATCAACTGGTGTACTGACACTTCTGGGCTACTTAACTATATATATCAGAATTACGCTTTATATGGGTTATATCTAATCACCACACCAACTCCCCAAAATAATAATGGTAGTTCTTATTATTGGTGAGAAAGCTGAAGTTTTGTAGAGGTTACATAACTGGCCTGAGAGTATCTTTTCCATGTAGGCAGAGTAGACTCTTACTCTCTTATTCTAGATTATCTAGAAAAATGATCTGATGACTAGGGAATAGTATGACTCTAAGATTCAGAGTCTATCCCTGAGTTAGGGATATGATTTTCAGTTTCTCATTCAGTTACCTTATTCTGTAGTAGAAGTCCTCATGAGGAGCAGAATGGATAGAACAAAAACCAAACAGGAAATAAAGGAGCCTGAAAAGATTCCAAGGAGCTCATTTGCCCCTAAATAACAGGACTGATAGGCTTGAGGTGGATGCAGTCATAAAGCAGAGACAACTGAACTTCAGAATCTTATCATTTCATGCAGTAATTGAGGTGCAACAGAGTTACAGGTCATGTGTTTAAAACATTTTTTTGGATTTTAGGGCATATTTCACATAATTTTCTCATGGAAAGCTTACTTTCTTTGACTAAGGCTCCTTTACACGCAACTGACATACCTATTCCTAGGTACCAAGTAAAGCCAAACAGCTGACGTCCCATAAATGACAGTATTTTCAGTTATATTTTGAGAAGGAGTACAAAGCAGTCTTAATTCTTTAGACAATGAAGGAAGATTCAAGTAATAACCTAGTTCAATCTTTGATGTTCTAAAGCAAACTGACTAGTCCTACTTCTGTTGGCTTATTGCTGAATAAACTTTTTGGTGTGCCATCTGGGGAATAGTGAACTGAAAGTCACAGGGGGGAAAAAAGGTGATCTGTGGATCAAAGTGGCATTTAGACCAGGTGTTTCCTTCACAGGAGGTAGTTTAATGTAGTTTCCTGGGAAGCTCCTGTATGCAACAGAAATATCTGAGATGGCCAAGCCTTGAGTATATTTTAGTTTCTTTTTTTTTTTAAGGTTTTATTTATTTATTCATGAGAGACAGAGAGAGAGAGAGAGAGAGACAGACAGACAGACAGACATAGGCAGAGGGAGAAGCAGGCTCCATGCAGGGATTTGGGACTCGATCCCAGGACTCCAGGATCACACCCTGGGCCAAAGGCAGGTGCTCAACTGCTGAGCCACCCAGGTGTCCCTAAGCCTTGAGTGTATTTTAGGATTCTTGTCTCAGACACATGTGGCATATGTTTTTGAAGCACAAGTTTTCCCAATGAAAATAATATGCATCAAATATTGCGCTCAGCTGACCCTTACCTGTAAATCTATGTAGTGAAACTGAAATTCAGAGAATTCTCTGAGAATTAGAAAAACTTCTCTGAGAATTTGGCTTACTTTGAGTAATAGAAAGCATTCTAAAAGATTCTGCAACTTTGTTTTTTAAGGAAAACTCTTTCCCAGATAAAAATGGACTGAAATGGGGCAGCCAAGGTGGCTCAGCGGTTTAGGGCCACCTTCAGCCCAGGGCCTGATCCTGGAGTCCCGGGATCGAGTCCCACGTCAGGCTCCCTGCATGGAGCCTGCTTCTCCCTCTGCCTGTGTCTCTGCCTCTCTCTCCTCTCTGTGTCTCTCATGAATAAATAAATAAAATCTTTAAAATTAAAAAAATAATGGACTGAAATTTTTTTCCTTATTAAGTTGATAACTAATTTATTTTTTAATTTACATTATTTGGGATCGACAAGGACTTGAACAAGTAAATTGTCATTTACTATTGGTGGGAGAATAAACTACAACAACCTTTCTTGAGAATGAATCTTTCTTGCCAATATGCCTTACCATTTGCCTGCCCTTTTGACCTTGTAATTCTGCTTCTAAAAATTTATCCTTTTTGGATCCCTGGGTGGCACAGCAGTTTGGCGCCTGCCTTTGGCCCAGGGCGCGATCCTGGAGACCCGGGATCGAGTCCCACGTTGGGCTCCCGGTGCATGGAGCCCGCTTCTCCCTCTGCCTGTGTCTCTGCCTCTCTCTCTCTCTCATTCTATGTGACTATCATAAATAAATAAATAAATAAATAAATAAATAAATAAATAAATAAATAAATAAATATAATAAAAAAAATAAAAATTTATCCTTTTTAAAAAATAAAAATAAAATAAAATAAAAATGTATCCTAAAAAAAAAAATGTATCCTAAGGTGGTAATTGTGGATATGTGTAAAAATTTTAACTATAAGAATGTTTGTCAGTGTTGTAATAATAGCAAAATGTGGAAAACAATTTAAATATCTGAAAAATATGAATTAAATTATGGTGCATCGATGTTATTAAATATAATACAGCCATTAAAATAATCTCATTGAAGAATATTGACATATATGCTGGTAAGAATGTTGATTAAACTTAATCAAGTTTAAAATGTAATAAATGAATGAATGAATGAAGAAAGAAAGAAAGAAAGAAAGAAAGAGGAAGAAGAAAGAAAGAAGAAAGGAAGAAAAGAAAAGAAAAAGAGGGATCCCTAGGTGGCTCAGCGGTTTAGTGCCTGCCTTCGGTCCAGGGTATGATCCTGGAGTCCTGGGATGGAGTCCCATATCGGGCTCCCTGAATGGAGCCTGCTTCTCCCTCTGCCTGTGTCTCTGCCTCTCTCAGTCTGTGTCTCTCATGAATAAATAAATAAAATATTTTAAAAAGAAAAGAAAAGAAAAGAAAGAAAGAGAGAAAGAGAGAAAGAGAAGGAAGAAGGAAGGAAGGGAAAGGAAAGAAAAGAAAAGGAAAGGAGGAAGGAAGGAAAGAGAGAGAGAGAGAGAAAGAAAGAAAGAAGAAAGAAAGAAAGAAAGAAAGAAAGAAAGAAAGAAAGAAAGAAAGAAAGAAGAAATATAGAAATATAGAGGGATACCTGAGTAGCACAGTCAGTTGGGCGTCTGACTCTTGATTTCAGCTCAGGTCATGATCTCAGCGTCATGAGGTGAAGTCCTGCATCAGACTCTATACTCAGCGGAGAATCTACTTGAGATTCTCCCTCTCCTTCTGCCACTCTCCCTGTTCTGTCTTTCTTTAAAATAAATAAATCTTCTAAAAAATAAAATGTATATAGAATGTGGTCATATCTTTATTATTGATGGATGCCTTGACAAAAAGACTGAAGAAATCTATACTAGAACTTTAACAGTGGTTATTTCTCAGTAGTTAACTGCAGGATATTTTTGCCTTTACTTAAGGTCCCTAAATTTTCTAGAGTTAGCATGGATCACTTTTGCTATGGGGGGTGGAAATTAAGTGGCATTTTTAAAAGAAAGATGTCAATGGATTGCCTATAGAATTCTCTCATACTGTCCTCTTCCCGTAAGAGAAAGACATTAGCTTATAGCTAATAAGACATTTTGTTTAATCCAGCTATGAACTAGGCATTCTTATAGGCACGTGAGATGTGTCAGTAAACAAAATGTAGAAAGATCTTTGCTCTTATGTAATTAATTTCCTACCATTTCAGGCTTCAGCTTTTCTCAAATATATAACTAGAAAGGTTCTTTTCAAATAAAAAAATAAAAGTTTTTTTTAAAAAAGGTACTTTTCAGGTTTGTTTACCCTCTTGGGTTCCTGAGTTCATAGTCAGAGATTTAATTAGTATAACCAGAGCTATTCTTAGTTTTAATTTTTTTTTGTTTTATTTATTTATGATAGGCACACAGTGAGAAAGAGAGAGGCAGAGACACAGGCAGAAGGAGAAGCAGGCTCCATACACCGGGAGCCCGATGTGGGATTCGATCCCGGGTCTCCAGGATCGCGCCCTGGGCCAAAGGCAGGCGCCAAACCGCTGCGCCACCCAGGGATCCCCAGAGCTATTAGAAAGTAGCTCAAGTGTATGAATAAATGGTTTGAAGAGACTGAGAGACTAAAGCAACAAGAATGATAAATGTTATTAGATAAGTACTTCCTGGGCATCAAAGGACATGTCTTCAAGGCTTAGAGACATCTATCTATATGGTCTTTGTGGACCCTATAAGAATCATAGGGAATTTATGCTGTAAGATGATTCTGTGCCAAGGGAAACAAATCTTATATAGTAAATGATTGAGATCTTTAGTTCTATAGTGATACAACATATAGAATCCAACTACAAGATCATGAGTTCTGTAGGTACCTAGACCTATTTTTCACTGGTGGGTTGTCCTGGTTGTTCTGCTCCTCTCTACTCCTAACCTTATTAATGCATTATATATTTCAGCAAAAAGTGTCTAGCAGATAGCTATAAATAGATAATATGGTATAATCAAAATCAGAGAATCTTAAATTCCAGGGAATAGATTATCCAGAGGCCAAATTCTATAGGGTTTAAAAATTGAAAGAGTTTTGGGTACATGTGGATTATTGGCTTTCTGGTATCCCCATGGTTCTGCAGTGCTCATTTCCCAGCGTATCTTTCAGGTCTGCATTACAGAGTTTACACAAGGCTTGTGAAGTGGCCAGAATGCATAATTACTATCCAGGCAGCCTGTTTCTCACCTGGGTGAGTTATTACGAGAGCCACATCAACTCAGATCAATCGTCAGTCAATGAATGGAATGCTATGCAGGATGTGCAGTCCCACCGGCCTGACTCTCCAGCTCTCTTCACAGACATGTAAGTCAGCTTACTCAGGATTACTGAAGTGTCTCTGTTGTATCCTAGGGGGTCAAAAGCAACATGTTCTTCCCTAATCTCTCCTCTTCGAGAATTAATCTTAGCCAGTGATACTAGTCAATGTCTATACTACACGTTGGCCACACAAAGAATCCTATTCTTTTTGTTGTCTGCAAACACAGAAGGAGTTTAACTCCTGGGCACAATGAAATCTCCATAGTAAAGAGCTGCAATTCCATAAAATCCCATTCAGATTCCACTAATTTGAAATTTGAGTTTAAAGGGAGTTAGGCTGAAGTCTGCCTTGGCATCATCTGTGAAAGAAGGATTTAATAAGCAAATTAATGGTACACAGAAGCTTTTTTTGTTTTAAGATTCCGTATAAGTAATCTCTATACCCAATGTGGGGTTCAAACTTAGAACCCCTAGATCAGGGGTCACATGCTCTACTGACTGAGCCAGCCAGGAGCCCAACATAGAGAAGCTTTTATTTTTTTTTATTTTTTATTTTTTTTTTTTTCATAGAGAAGCTTTTAAAGAGATGTTTCTAATATTTAAGAAAATAAGAAGTTTCCAGTCAATTTAAAAGACTGCCTAGGTTGTTACTGCTCATTTTAAACTGATTTCTGGTCACATATTTTTAAAAATAATTTATAATTCAAGTGTTTGACTCAACCCCACTGTTGCCTTGTTGGGTCTTTGTCAGTGAGATTTTATTAAATCTCCCTGGTGTATGGTAAGTTGGATAAAGGCCTGAGGTGGGATTGATGTTTATTTCCTTTTTAGGCCTACATGTTAAAACTTTCAGACATTAATCAGGATGTTTCTTTTGCTCTGAATTTATTTTTCTGCACTTTCAAGGTATCCTACAACTGGAAAAGAAGAGTATCTATCTACTTACAATCTGACTGTACAAACCTTCACCTTCAGATTCCTAAATTGATACTAAAACAGTTCGTGATTTTGTTTTAAGAAAATGCTTTATTTAGGTAATAGTGTAAACTTATTTTTACTAGAAAAGGTGAAATTTCCAAGAATTGTATGAACAGGACAGTCAGAAAAGAAGTGAAACTTTTTATTGCATAGGGTGTTATTGATACTAGGATCTCCTTTTCATTAGCCCTAGTCATTTGAAGATCCCACCGTAACTGAAATGATAAGGCTTAGTCTGGCTTTCAGAATCTTGGAAAACGTTACTGAGTTCATGCTTTATAGCTGATTGATGGTTATCAAAGGAATGGATGTCTCATCTGGCTCAAAAATGGACATTCTGGGGATCCCTGGGTGGCGCAGCGGTTTGGCGCCTGCCTTTGGCCCAGGGCGCGATCCTGGAGACCTGGGATTGAATCCCACATCGGGCTCCCTGTGCATGGAGCCTGCTTCTCCCTCTGCCTGTGTCTCTTCCTCTCTCTCTCTCTCTGTGTGTGACTATCATTAAAAAAAAAAATGGACATTCTAACCCAGACTTACATGAGAGTGAAAACTCTTCATTTCTTATGATTTTATTAGAGAAAATTTGGATGTTACATCAGAAAGAAAAGGAAAGAAAATTGGCAATAATTTGTCTATATCCCCAAGCAAGGGAAAGTAGTCCCTGGAACATGCTGGAGGTTCATTAAATCTTAGCTCTTAGTATGTACAATATAACTCCAGCTTTAATGATATATTTACTAACCAAATGTCTGTCCTAGAAAGAAAAACTGAAAAGCTGTAGGTCAGAGTATTGATAATGATTATCTCTAATATAGAGATTTTCAGTGATTTTTATTTTTCTTCATGTCTTTGTGTATTTTCAAATTTTTCTCTAGTGAAATCGAGCAAGAAAGTGTGTTTGTTATAATGTTTTTTTCTCCCTAAATTGACTAGAAAAGCCTGAAAAAGAATGATGAGCATACAGGGAGAATGTGTGCCAAAATGGATTTAGGTACTCTACTGCAAATAAAGTTTGTATTTTGAAATACAAGAAAAGGGAAGAAGGGAACATACATGTATAGTGCTTCCAGTGTATGTTAAATGTTATGCCGGGTACTTTATACGTGGTACATCATTTATAAGAACCTCATGAGGCAGATATTATTATACTCATTTTATAAAAAAAGAAAACCCGCTCAGAGAAGGGAAGGAATTTGTTCAAGGTTGTACCACTAGTAAAGTTGCAGGGCTGGGATTAATACCCAGGTGTGAAAAAATAAAAAAATAAAAAATACCCAGGTGTGTCTGCTCCCAAACCACTCTGCCTCAGAGAACTGTCGTGAAGGATTAGGAGAAAGATTGCTAACTAGGGAGGGATCTAACTCATGCACATAGGTGGTAAAATTTGTTTTATAAATATTTTTAAAGGTTTTATATATTTATTCATGAGAGACACAGAGAGAGGCAAAGACTTAGGCAGAGAGAGGAGAAGCAGGCTCCATACAGGGCCCTGATGCAGGACTCAATCCCAGAACTCTGGGATCACGTCCCAAGCTGAAGGCAAATGCTCAACCTCTGAGCTACCCAGGCGTCCCTATAAATATTTTTTAATGGAAGACTTTAATGTATAACTTTCTACCATTAGCTATGTCTAGGAAAAATGGTTGGGAGCATGATTAAGAATTTAATCCTGCTCAAGACAGGGATGCCTTGGCAGATAGGGAGATGGCACAGGCATTATCTGTATTCTGCAGGGTTCATGAGAAACTACAAGCCCAAGTGGTGGGGAGCCCCAAGGTTCTGAGGTCAGAGCATCCATCTTTGGAGATTACTGAAGCTATTTTTGCAGACAGTGATAAGGCTGTAGGCAGCAAGGGCAGACAGGATGCCTGAAGGCTTAGTCCATTTCCATCTCCAAATAAGGAGGTACAGAGCAGATACCTTTCTTGAGTAGGTAAGAGGGAAAGATGAGACAGAAAGTGCTCTTTGTCAGCCTCACTCAAATTCTGCATAATATGAAATAATGCTTTTAGAGAGAAGCATCCAGTTACATTAAACCAATACCTTTCTAGTAATTGGAGAGTTAGCTTACTAGTTTAATTTCCTATTAAAGTTCCAAGGGTAATTTTATTTTTAAGAGTCTTATTTTTAAGAGAAGATTAAGGGAAGCAACATAATCCTGCAGGTAGAGTGTTAGGCTGGGCTGAGAGTACTGGTTCTCCTGCCAGTGTATGCGATCTTTGGCATGTCATTTAACCTTTCAGATATTTATTCCTTTATCTATAAAATGGGGGTAACAATTTCACAGAGATGTTGTGAGAGCTTTATGAGAAGGAATGTTTTTTGGATGGAAGTATTCTGAGTAGTTAATTCTTAAAAACCCATTTTGGAGTGAATTTGCTTCAGTGAAGAGGCAGAAATCATTCTTTCATCTTTCCTGTTTTCTAGAATAATAGCAATGAATGGTCAGCATTAGGTGGCATTTTAAGCTACAGAAAACCTGGTCCTTAGTGAGTCACACCACTGTTCTACCCAGCTTGGTATTCTAGCGCAGCAAATGGTAGTCAGGGATACTTGATGGAACAGTATGACTATGCATCTGCATTAAAGTAGTATACACAGTATAGCTTATTTTTTAGTCCTTCATAGATGTACGTGGATATATTTAAGGGCTTTTAGACATGTATTGCCTCTTCAAGTAATAATTTCTACACGTTTACATTCTATACATTGTGAAAACTTTTTTAAATACTTTTTGTTTGTTTGTTTGTTTTGCCATGCCCCCAGAATATAAATGTTTGGGGGTAATATAGAAAGTCTGCCAATTTGGAAACAACCAAATGGCACGTTCATTAACCTAGTCAAATTCCTGCCTAAGAAAAAAATCACCATTTCTCTCTTCTCAGACCAACTGAACGTGAGCGAACAGAAAGATTAATTAAAACCAAATTAAGGGAGATAATGATGCAGAAGGATTTGGAGAATATCACATCCAAAGAGGTGAGAGACCTTGAGTTCTTCTTATTCCAAGACTAGGAGTGGGATAACAGTGGGTATGGGGTTAGAAATAGTGAATGATTGATTGAAAGTACAGAGGTACTTTTCAGAGATGAGTAAAATATGTCTTCTTTGTTTCAGATACGAACTGAGTTGGAAATGCAAATGGTGTGCAACTTGCGAGAATTCAAGGAATTTATAGATAATGAAATGATAGTGATCCTTGGCCAAATGGATAGCCCTACACAGATATTTGAGCATGTATTCTTGGTAAGTCTGAGGGCCACTCTAAGTGATGTACTAAATCTAGTCCATACCAGCTCTGGGAGAACAATTGTTAAATTTGAGTATATTTAAATAAAATATAACTTAAAAACAAAAGTAATAAATACTTAAACCCTATCCCTTTCTAGTTTTTTGCTAGATTTTATTGTTATCTGTGCTCTAGGTTATTTACATCTACTATATGGTGGAAATGTTAGATAATGGTGTGCTTCTGCTCATCTCTTCCCAATTCCTCATTCAGTGACATCAAGCTGGTGGATTAAAATTGACTTGGTGGGGAATTTTACACCAAGGAAATGGGCAAATGCTACAAATCAGCCCCTTCCCTCCTGCATGGACTGTTAAATATCTCATCTGTTCTTCATGACAGTCAAAAGTCAAACAGACCAGTCCACAATAGCTTTATATAGTGTATCCAAATAGAATGATCCTTTAAGATCACTCTTTCACATTTTCCAAATTTGCATAAGGCCTAATATATCTGAGCAGAGCAGGTGGGACTACTTATGAACTGAGAGACTATTGGACTTTAGAAACATTTAGAACCTTATAGCTGCATTTTGAGTCCCCCCCGATACTTTTGTGATTGCTAAAATTTCAGTGACTTAAAATTGTTCATGATTCCTGAACATTCAGTGACCTGCACTTAGCCCAAGGATAGCTTTCTGACCAATGGATTAGGGAACCTTCTAAAAACCTTAAGACTCATTTTCCTCCCAAATGTTAGAAGAGTTTTAGTTTCCATCTGTACACAGTAGTGGGAATAAGGTTAAGAAGGTAATTAAAATCAGTGGGGAATGTCAGAACTTCATTTTGTTTCCACTTCCCACACACTTTGACCAAAAATACTGTAATAAGAAAATAAGTTGATTGGTTTGAATTTCATTTCCTTTCTCTGGTAATTTCATTTCCTTTCTCTACTTCACATTTGTGAAATGATTAGAAGCTGAGAAACAGGAAACAAGAGGAATAAATGCACAGGAACTGACTAAATTGGATCATCTCACCCCTGAATATTCAAGAGTTTATGTCACCAGTCAGATTTTATGCCATTGAAGGCTTGTGCCCTGAATTAACTTTTTGACAGTCTGAGAGTATTTGTGCTTGTAGAGTGATTCATAGTGCTGTATAGCTATGAAATTACTCATGAAAAGCTGTGAGCTGGAAAGGGAACTTTTTTTCCATGACTTTAACTTGACCAATGTGTGTTGCCATTTCTGGGTGTAGATTATACTGCAAAACTGTCATTGACCTTTCCATTTGTAAAGTACTTGGCTTTGTTGTCATCTGTGTATACCTCCGCAAGGGTTCAAGTATTCCCTGCTGGTGTATCGTTGGAAAGAATTTTTGGATTATCTATAGAAAACTTATGAGTCACTCATTCAAATGGACCCTGCCCCTAACTGTGTCTGTGTAACATGACTAATTTTTATGAACAGCAAGTGCTTATACCCAAAAATAGCTCATGTTAGAAAATGACCAGAGCTGTAAACTCAGAAATCACTTTTCCATTACTTGTATTTTAATGCCAGAAAGGATGTAGACATAATGAATATGAAATACAATTGATATGTGACTGTTCAACCTGTTTAATTTGGGTGGACTTCCCTGTGTCTCTGATGCCACCCACTCAAGGACTATCTTCTCCATACTTCCTCTTGAAATGATATGTTTTAGGATATATAGAGAAATTTTAGTAGTACTCTTTCAGAAAAAACAATCCAGTTCTCCTGAGATTTGAGTCCCTAATCAACTACAAATGCATTTGAGTATTTTTACCAGTATATTTATCCTATTATTTTATGAATATTGGCATATTCTTCTGTCTTGGATTTTTTTTTTACTTATTATAAAAATAAGTCATGTTCATTTTAGAAAGTTTAGACAATTTAATTTTTTTTAGTGAGCTACACATAGTCCATTCCTTTCTGTTTATTTTTTGACTGAAGTATAATTAACGTACAATGTTATATTAAGTTCAGGTCTGCAACATATCGATTCAGCAATTTTATGTATTACTCAGTGCTCACCACAATAAGTACAGTCCCATTTATCATCGTACAATGTTATTACAATATTATTGACTGTATTCCCTAATCTGTACATTTTCATCTCTGTACTTTATTAATTTTATGACTGGAAGTTTGTAACTCTTAATCTCCTATCTATTTCACCCATTCCCCCACCCAGCTTTCTTCTGGCAACCACCAATTTGTTCTCTCTCTATATATTTTTTAAATATTTTATTTATTCATGAGAGAGAGAGAGAGAGAGGCAGAGACACAGGCAGAGGGAGAAGCAGGCTCCATGTAGGGAGCCCAATATGGGACTCGATCCTGGGACTCTAGGATCATGCCCTGGACCGAAGGCAGGCGCTAAACCGCTGAGCCACCCAGGGATCCCCTTGTTCTCTATATTTGAGTCAGGTTTTATTTGTTGGTTTTTTATATTTCACATATAAGTGAAATCGTATTGTATCTGTCTTTCTCGGACTTACTTTACTTAGCATGATTATTGGCATATTCTTCTGTCTTAGGTTTTTTATTTATTATAAAAAAGTAATTCATGTTTGTTGTAGAAAGCTTAGACAATTTCAGAAGACAATAAATAACATTTAATCTCCAGCAAAAGAGATAAGCAATGATACATTTTGTTATATAATATTCCAGTCTTTTTTTACTTTCTTAATGTGGTCTGTATATTTTTGAAAAAGGGAAATCCTAATCAGCTTCAGAGTATAATTCTGTTTCCTAAAGAATGGACATGTTCTTTCCATTGTGTGTATTTTTCTTACTTGGGAAAAACTTCCAAACTGGAGAATTCTGAAATTTAACTCATACCCAGCAAAATGAGTACATGAACACTTCTTCATCAATGGCTTTCTCCCTTTGTCTGCACCACCATATCCTGTATCCAAACCTCTATCTCTTCTCCAGTGAGTCTGTGCTCTGCTGGCTTTCCCAGCAATTGACACGGAAAAAGAGGTTTTATCCAAGCTGCAAGTGGTGGTGTTAATTTTCTGCAAAGTCATTTCATCTTGTGAGGAGCTGCCATGCCTGAAGTGCAAGCAGATTGTGTGAAGGAAGGCGGCAGGATTTTTCCCCTTACTTTTGAAGAATGCTTAGCTCTGCAATGCACTGCACAGAGCTGTTTATTTAGAAAGGTATCCAGCTGGTATGGAGAAGAAAAGTATAAGGCATAGTTTAAAGAAAATCTGCAATGAGAAGAGAGAATTGATTGATTGGAAGCCAGGGTATTTCCACCCAAAGTTCTTCCACACCCTTAAGAGTTGTACTCTGAGCTGGAAGCCTTTGCCCAACCAAGTCTCAATATCAACAGTTCTCCTGGAGGTTGTCCAGTTTGGCTGAGAAAAAGCTAAATGTGAACAGAGACCCTTTGCTGAAAGGCAGGCAGCTTTCTTAGTTGAACAAGGGAAACAGGAATATTGGACACAACCAGTAATTTTGTTCATGAATAAAAAACTAGTTGGTTTTTACTGCTGATGGTTATCCTTCTTAATATCTGACATTACAGAATAATATTTCCTTTTCAAAGAAAAATAAAGCCTCAAATTGGTGTTTACTTTTGTAGGTGCAGAGAAATAGAGGATATGTGAATAGATGAGACTTAAATCAAATGGGCTGTTTTAATTATTCATGATTTTATCCTTCAACTGGAGATTTGTAGCATGAACTTTTCTCAGAAGGAAAAATTAATAGAGCTCTTGTGCCTGGTTGCCTCAATAACGTGACTCACAGTGTTGAGGCTGTAGTTGTGGTATGATGAAGATATGGAGAAGGTACCAGTCCTTGGAGATTATGTCAAGTTATAGTGATCCTAGTAGAACCCGAATACAGTCCTTCTTATTTGCTATAAATGTGCTCTCTTCTCTTTTGCTTGGAGCACTTGGACTCTTACAAGGCTATTTCATAAGGATAATATTTGAAAAGAAATAAGTCATTTGGGGGTGCCTGGCTGGCCCTATCAGTAGCATATGACTCTTGTTCTCAGTGTCATGAGTTCAAGCCCCACATCGGGCATGGAGCCTACTTAAAAAAAAAAAATTTTTTTAGAAAGAAAAAAAAGTTAGTCACTTGGGTTTTTGGACTATGGCACAATATAGGGGAACCAGAGTGAAAGATGAAAATGAACTTACTTAAAAATGTATTATAGTCCCAAGATTTCATTTTACACTTCAGTAAGATTAGAATATGCTTTGCAGGGATCCCTGGGTGGCGCAGCCGTTTAGCGCCTGCCTTTGGCCCAGGGCGCGATCCTGGAGACCTGGGATCAAATCCCACGTCGGGCTCCCGGTGCATGGAGCCTGCTTCTCCCTCTGCCTGTGTCTCTGCCTCTCTCTCTCTCTCTCTCACTGTGTGCCTATCATAAATAAATGAATTTAAAAAAAAAAAGAATATGCTTTGCATAATTATATAGAACATAGTGGAAAACCCCATGGAATTGTGTCATTGTAAACCTGAGAAGCATGTGGGGGGGAGGGAGATTGAGTCTTTGGAGGGCCTCAGGGGGCTAATATGAATGGCATTTATTTTGAGGACAGAAAAGTAATTACACCATGTTGATTCCAGTTCTTCATTTCAGGTTGAACCTGAAGCAGCCCTAAGCAGAGCCCAAGTCATGTTATATGGACTTCATTGAGTCAGTAGCCAAAGCTTTTAATTTATTTTGTTTCTGGATATGTGCCATTTCAGATTGTCAGATTGAGTTTTCTCTGGACAGGTAGATGAAAACCATGGACTTTTCCCATCACGTAAGGGTTATTTCCATCTAGCTGGACAAAGTTCCACAGAGGATTTAGACTTCTAAATTAAGAAGTGCAGTGGTCACATTTCCCTGGCTACCATTAAGCCACTCAACCCTTATTGCTTGGCTTCTGTCTCCTTGAAGTTCTTTAGGATTCTTACCTCTTTCTTTGTGGGAGAGCTTGTTTTCAAAGGTTGAGCACAGAGCCTTAAGAACCTCCCGGATTTTTTTAAAGCAAGTCACCTGAGCCCTGATTTATAAAAAAGATCAGTTATCCATCAGTTACCGTCCTTTTCCTAAATAGAACTTTACAGTAGATCTACTATATAGTAGATCTACTGAGATAGATATATATATCTATCTCAGTTCAACAGCCACCAAATTGAATAACATATCACTTGTATTATGATGATAGTACTTGCATAGCACTTTTCAGAGTGCTCCATTTACTTACCTTATCTGATCATTCACTCAGTAAACATTTGTTGACCCTCTCTTTTGTGCCAGGTATGAGGCTAGATTTTTGTGCAATCTGATCTATTTCTATATGGAGAGAGTAATGAACCATATCAGATAGATATTCATGGAAGGCCAATGGGATAGACAATTAGAAGTGGTCGTTAGTAACATTAGCAAGAGTGATGAGAGCAGAAACCACAGTGCTGTAGGTTGAGACCTATGGGAAATATGGAATCAGATAAAGTATTAGATTTTATTTCTATGAATCTTGAGAAAGGAAGAAAGGTATCTGGAAGAGAATTCAGGATGGAAAGAGGGTTTTTCCACTTTAATATGGGAGAGACCAGTTTTTTTTGTCAAGGGGTGGGCACTGGAATGGAGACTCTTAAACAATAGAAACTTAGGACACCTGGGTAGCTCAGCAGTTGAGCATTTGCCTTCAGCTCACAGTGTGATCCCGGATCAGGGGATCTAGTCCCACTTCAGGCTCCCTGCAGAGAGCCTGCTTCTTCCTCTGCCTAGGTCTCTGCGTCTCTCTGTGTGTCTCTCATGAATAAATAAATACTTTTTTAAAAACCATAGAAATTTATTTCTCATAGTTCTGCAGGCTAAAATCTGAGATCAGCGTGCCTGCATGGTCAGGTGAGGGCCATCTTCTGGGTTATAGACTTCTCTTTGTTTTCTCACATGGCAGAGGAGATCGGGAAAAACTTCCTGTTTGTAATTTGAGACGGTACCCATTTAGGTATGTAGGAGTAGGTGGGAGGAGTGTTCCATTTTGCAGATAAGAAAAGTGAAGACAGATTAAGCAATTTGCCCAGTGCCCCACGTAGAGTGGGAAGTTGAAACTTGAACCTGAGTCTTCTAATGCTAAATTCCATTTAATACATAATGCTAAAATAGGCAAATTCTTACTTTTAAATGTTTGCCTTTTCAAAAGAGATGAACAGATAGTCCAAAAAAAGTAAATGGACCAGAAACATTGAAAAGTTGCTCACTTTTACTCTTAAGAGAAATGCAAATTGAAATTACACTGAGATAACCTTTCACACCTGTCAGATTGGCAATAATTCAAAAGCTTAACCACACATTTTGTTGGCAAGGCCTTGGAGAAAGTGGCACTGTCATACGTTGTTGGTGGGAATGCAGAATTGTTTCAGCCTCTATGGATAGAATTTAGCAATGTCTAACAAAACTGCATTGACCCTTTACTCAACAACCTCACTTCCACAAATATGGAACATCATTTATAGGAGACTAGTTGAATAAATCTATCACTATCCAGTGAAGTGCTATGTAGGTGTAAGAAGGAATAAGGAAAATTTTTCTTTGAATTGCTACAGAGTGATTCTGAGAATGTATTGTAAAGTGAAGCAAGCGAAGAACAAAAGTATATGTAGTATACTACTTTTATGTAAGTAAGAAATAGTAACAAGGATATATTTGCTTATGTTTTTTCAAAATAGAACATAGGTAGAATAAGCCAGAAACTAATGAAAATGGTTACCCTTAGGGATTGAAGAGATTAGAGTGGGAGTGAGACTTCAAGTTTACTTTTTTTTAAAAAAAAGATTTTATTTTTTCATGAGAGAAACAGAGAGAGGCAGAGACATAGGCAGAGGGAGAGGCAGGCTCCACTCTGTATCTGTCGTGAATAAATAAATAAAATCTTTAAAAAAAATAAGCTTTTGACTTTCAATCTTAAAAAAGTTTGCATATGCAAAATCAAGTGGAAAAAGCACAATTTTAGGGATATACCTAAAATTGAATACAGACAAAGGTGAATGAATCCAAGTATATATCTAATGGATAACTTCACAGAGGGAAGTTAATTCAGATAACTTTTGAGCATAATATTCTGATTGAACCTCTTCATGGGAAGAGAAAAAAAACTACAAAAAGAAATCTCAACTTGATAGTTTTATAATTGGCTGTGGTATTGGTGTAGTAATAGTAATGTTGAAGTTATTTTGTAAATAGAGCACATGAGTTGTTGGAAACCAAGGCTATCACTCTGGAATAGAGAGATAAAAATGTTGACAAAGGGGCAAGAAAGAAAAGGAAGAGCCTTGTGGTGATAACTTTGAATTGGAGGTACCGGTGTAAATTTTTTTTTTTTTCAGTAGGCGCCATACTCGGCCTATAGCCCAAAATGGGGCTTGAACTCATGACCCTGAGATTAAGACCTCAGCTAAGATCAGGTGTCATACACTCAACCAAGCCACCCAAGTGCCCCTGGAAATTCAATAGTTTTTTAAAAAATAGTTCCTAGGGCACCCCCGGTGGCGCAGCGGTTTAGCGCCGCCTGCAGCCCGGGGTCTGATCCTGGAGACCCAGGATCAAGTCCCACATCGGGCTCCCTGCATGGAGCCCGCTTCTCCCTCTGCCTGTGTCTCTGCCTCTCAGTCTCTCTCTCTCTCTGAATAAATAAATTTTTTTAAAAAATGCTTATTTAAAAAAAAATAGTTCCTAGATCTGTCCACTGAAAAGTTTAGAAGCAGTAACACTAAATATTTATGAGCATATCTAATTATGTCCAGGTTTTGATTGCAAAATATTCTTTGCTAAAAGAAACCAGGGCTCCTTGGGGAAAGGGCTAATTCCATTCACAAAGTGAATCTGAAACAATTTCCTGTGCCAGAAAGCAAGGACCTATTCAAAAACTAGTGGGGTCATATCAAAAGGAGCCTGCCTGCTTGAAGAGATTCCCACTGGTCAAATTTAGGACGATTTGAGTGTCAGGAAAAAAATGGTAATGGATTGTATAACGTTCCAAGTACAAAATGAATTGAAGAAGTCATAGTGGCATTCACAGTGCAGAAGGGATGACTAGGTGAAGCTCTCTTTTACAAAGAAGAATGCCAGCTACCATTCAAAGGAATGATAGAATTAAAAAACCACCATTTTCTCAACCTCCAGTAAAATAATTGCCTTGGACAAGGTCAGCAGTTGATGCTAAAACCATAGGGTAAAAGATTATTGTGAAACAGGATATTCACATGACCTCAAAGATCTGATACCTAAAGATTACTAATTAGTCGTTAAGAAATCTTTACAATATGAGATGTGGCAGATACAAAGGTACCTACCAAGAATTCAAGCTCAGCATGACAAGTAAGATAAATGGACATAATGTGCCTCAAGATTTGATGCGATAGGAAATACACAATATCATCCTTGTAATATTCTTGCCAGGAATTTTGACTTGAATCTAATTATCAGGAGACAAATCAGACAAATCCAGATTGTTAGGAGTTCTCCAAGATTACAGACCAGTAGTCTACAAAAATGTAGACTACATTTAAAACGTAGACTAAATGTAAAGTTGAGGTGGACTGTCCAAGACCAGATTAAATGAGAAAGACGTGGCAACTAAATGCAAATTATAATTCTTTTTTTTTTTAAGTATAATTCTTGATTGGATAAACATAAAGGATAGTTTGAGAGGACGGTTTTTGAATCAAATATTGATAATGTATTAGAATATTGTGTTAGTGTTCTCTTAGTTGTAAAAGTGAAACAAGGAGAATGTTCATGTTCATAATCAATATATGATCAGGTATTGAAGTGTCATGATTGCTCAGATTACTTTCAAATGGCTCAGGACATAAAAGTATGATACATATTGGAAGGAGAGAGAGAAAGCAAGTGTGGTAAAATATTAAAAATTGGTATATCTTCTAGATAATCTGTACAACTCTCCCTTCTTTAAATTTTGCATATCCTGTTTCCCACCTGGTTGCTGTCCTCAAGAAGCTTATATTACAGTCGAGGAGAAAAGTAGTAAATAAGCACATAAATAAATATGCAAGTAAAAATTACAATACATTGTCCTGAAAGAAATCAGAATACTATAACAAGGAAAACAGATGACATTTAACTTAGAATGTAGGATGATCAAAGATACCTTTCCAGCATGTGATCTTGAGCAAAAATTATTTGAATTCTATGAGGGCTGGTTTTCTTATCTGTAAAAATAAAGATAACTTTTTTACCCTATCACTTACGAAAACAAAATGTGATAATGTACAAAGTACCTGACATATAGAAAGGAAGCATGATAGATGTTATTGGCTCTGCTTCTTTCCTCAGGATTCCTTTCCAAGTATTGTATTTTGTTCATTTGCTAATACTCCCTAACCTTGTTTTTTATTTTGTTCCACAGGGCTCAGAATGGAATGCCTCCAATTTAGAGGATTTACAGAACCGAGGGTAAGCACACAGAGCAATTGCTTTCATCCCCATGACAGAAATCACTGTTCTTTACTTTTTCCTGTCAAATAGGTGTCAGTGAGTAACTTTAATCTTAGGAGTTGCTTCAAGTTGATTCTAATCAGGTGTAATGTAATAAAAATTTAAGTGGCTATTCTCCCACTGTTTCATCCTCCCACACAGACAACCCTCAAGAAAAAGATACTGTTTAGGTGGAAAGGCTTTCCAAAATAAATATGCATGCCTTTCCTGCTGTTTAAAACAAATGTAGTTATTGATTCCTTTTTGTTTGTTTGTTTTTAGAGCAATTTAAGGTTCACAGTAAAATTGAGAAGAAGGTACAGAGATTTCCCATATACTTCTGCCCTTATATGTGCATAGCCTCCCCCATTATTACCATCCCCACCAGAGTGGTGCATTTGTTATAATTGATAAACCTACATTGGTACATCATAATCACACCAAGTCCATATTTACAGTATAGTTCACTCTTGGTGTCCAGTTTTTGGCCTTGGACAAATCTATCGTGCATCCATCATTTATGGTATCATACAGAGGATTTTTTACTATCCTAAACATCTTCCGTTCCACCCATTTATTCCCACTACCACCCCTGGCAACCGCTGATCTTTTTACTGTCTCCATAGTTTTGCCTTTGGTTCCTATTTTTATGTGAGAGTACACAGAACTGCATGTGTTGGGTTCATAGCTGCTCATTCAACATTTATTGACCATCTTCTGTGGGCCAGGTACAGTGCTAGATACTAGGGATCCAAGGAAGAATAAGAATCAGTCCCTATCCTTTTTTAGTAAGGTGTTTGAAGTCTAAGTAGGTTATAAATATAAAGTGGACAAGCTTCTGAAATTGAACAAGAATACCTACCTTGTATTAAGAAATGTGCCCCTAAACAGTATGGTTATTGAGTTTGATAGTAGCTATTGAGATCACCATGAACACTTAGCAAGCAAAAAGCTGCCATTCTTCTTCCTTTTTTACTTCTTAGCTAATGCCTAAATTTTTCATTGAACATAGCCATGCTAACTCTTAATTGTGGCCAGTGATAAGACCTACTGAAATCCAGAAGTAGTGATGGATAGTTGCTGGCTGCCTGTTTTCTAAGCTGTAAGTCAGCCTTCTGGTTATCTTTAGCATGATCATCAGAGTCATACTCCCTACTTTTACTTCAAAAGAAAAGTATGTCATAATTGTTAAAATGAACTGGGAACAAGGCTTAAGCCAGAGAATTTATACAAAGAGTTCTTGGAGTGGGAAGAAGCGGGGAGTGAATCTGGTTACTTAATTTAAGATATAAAAATAAATAGAACTTGGACATTTTAAATTGATTAGAATTGAGTCTAGAGTTCTTGAAAATAGAGACTGTATCTTAGTTTTGTATAAAACATGTCTGCCTAGCTCAGAGCTTTTTAAAAAAAATTTTTTTTATTTATTTATGATAGTCACACACACAGAGAGAGAGAGAGAGAGAGGCAGAGACACAGGCAGAGGGAGAAGCAGGCTCCATACACCGGGTAGCTCAGAGCTTTATACCAAGAAGGTACTCAGTAAATGTGAAGGAATGATAGAAAAATTGACTGTGACTTGCCAGAAACTAGCATGTAGGTACAGTGTTTAATATGAAATCTGAGATTTTATACAGCCAATGCTTGCCAAACGCATTGAAATAACATCATGCATACATATACTTTGACTTTAGAATGCACTTTAACTTACAACCCCAGCTGGAGATGATACCTGTTCATCTCATTTACTACTTATAATGCTAAATTATAAAACACAGATGTATTTGTCTTAAAAGACAGTATAGTTAGATGCTCAGACATCTACTTAGATCTTGTTTCATAAATTCACTGGTTCTTAAACGCTTGTGGATTAAGAATTACAGTTACAAAATATGAACACTGCCCCTTTTGGATCATTTAAGGGATTTTCAAGTCTAATTTTGGCAGTGAGGCCATTTTCACCCAATCTACTGACTGCAGAACCCCATGTAAAGTGCTACTCCATAAGATATGTCAAAAGAAGTTTCAAGGAGTGCTAATTTCAGTTGGTAGTGGTTATCTAGAGTTCTATAATGAAAGGATTGAGAAGCCTTCTGTCATAATCCATTAGTAAAACATGGGATTAGAGGTGGGAGGTTATTCTTTTTTTTTTAATTTTTATTTTAAATGAGAGAAGTGTGCTTTCCTTTTGACAGTTTGAGTGTAAGTCACATATAGTTCACCCATTAAAATGTACACTTTAATGATATTATCTTTTAGAGAGTTGTACAATAATTAATTTAGAACGTTTTTTCAAATCCAAAGAAATCCTGTACAGTCACCCCCATTTTCCTTCTCTCTCAGTTTCTAGAAACTACTAATCTGCTTCCTATTTCTAGGGATTTATCTGTTCTGGACATTTCATTTAAATGGAATTGTATAATATATGCTCTTTTAAAAATGGTTTCTTCCATTTCACGTTATATTTTCAAGGTTTATCAATGTTGTAGCATGCATTAGTACTTCATTCCTTTTTTAATTGCCAAAAATGCTCCATAGTCTGAAATACCACATTTTGTTTATTTAGTTGTCAGTTGATGGACATATGAATTGTTTCCACTTTTTAGCTATTATAAATACTACTGTACCATTCATGTACAATTTTGGGGGTAGATTTATTTTTCATTTCATTTCATACCTAGGAGAGGAAAATGCTGGATTATAAAGTAACTCTGTGTACTGTTTTCCACAATTGCATGTGCTTGCTTTTTAAATTAAAAAGAAAAAAATTGTTTCTAGTAATGGACTTTGATGCAGATTTAAAACAGGTTCAAATCATGTTTCAGAAAAATTTTGGTCTCATAAAAAACAAAAACCAAAAAAAAAAGAAAAATTTTGGTCTCTTGACCTTAACCACAGAGTGGGTTAGCTAGGACTCTCCCTTTTTGTAGTCGTTTCTCTGACTTCAGAGATTGGGTTTGTAAGAACCCCGTGTGTAGTTAGTTCTAAGAAGGAAACCGCTTCTGCAGAGGAAATACATGAGTCTGTGTTGTATTGGTGGAGTAAACTCCAGTGAAGTCTAAGTCCACACAGCACTGAGAAAAGATAAGCATTTGGCAAATTGAACTCAAGCATTTATTGAAATTGTACAGTGAGAGACATATCAGAAGAAATTTTTCTGCAATCCTCTCGGTATGGGAGAACTTGCAGGTACATCTGCTGCTGTGATGGCCAGGACGGCAGCCCAGGGAGTTATGAGAGTTTTAGGTCCAACTTTCCTCTGACCTTCCCAGCCCTCACCTATTCTGCTTTTCTTTTTGTTTATAGAGAGTAATAGAGCAAAATTTAGCATTTAGAAAGGTAAGAGGAAATTTTGACCTTTCCTATTTTGTTGTTTTTAGTTTCTTGAAGTAGATGTTAATAGTCTGATTTAATACAAATGACTTCCAAAGAATGAATTATGTTTTTGGTAATTTTAGCAACTGAAGAGAAATTTTCAGATCATTGGCCTTGGGTTGATCCTTTGAAGTAAAATACGAGACATATTTTCGAAAGACTGTCAAAGATGAGATTGTGTAACTACATAAACTGAAAATGGAATTTTTTTTTTTGAAAATGGAATTTAGATGTTGAACTTGGTAGACACCTTTTCTCTTAGTAATTCATTGGTGCCAGATATGTCCTGGATTCTGCTATGTAGTTTCTGTACTAAATAAGTATATAGTGCCTTAGTTTTTTAGCTTTTTTTCAATATTTTAGTTTTTAATTTCAGTCTAGGAAGTAAGCAAATTTTAATTAAGAAAAACAGTCCTAAGAATGGGTTTAGCCTGAATAGTAGAGCACATATTTTCCCTTGGTTTTCTCACAGGGTGCGGTATATCTTGAATGTCACTCGAGAGATAGATAACTTCTTCCCAGGAGTCTTTGAGTATCATAACATCCGAGTATATGATGAAGAGGCAACAGATCTCCTGGCTTACTGGAATGACACTTACAAATTCATCTCTAAAGCAAAGTGAGTAATGGTTCCACAAATCCTCTGACCTGTGTTCCTCGTGCACCGCACATGGCTGGGGCTTGAGAGGTATAGGTGGTTTAATGTCTATACTCTGGGAGAAGGAAGTAAAGAAGAAAAGGAGACTGAGATTCCTTAATCCTGGGGAAAAGTTGGTTGGTGGCATCATACTTTCCCTGTGAGTAGATGAAGCCCCTGGAAGAAGATAAGCTCCTGTTAACTGTTTGCATTGAGCACAAGATGAGGGGAAACAAAGGAAGATATTCTGCAGGAAGTGCCTACATTGCCAAAGGGGACATTTGAAAGTTATAGGGTAGAAATTACTCCAGATGGTTGGGATACAGAGTCCTTTCTGAAGACAAGATGGGAAGCATAGTGAGCTTTGGAAATCTTTTCTCATTCTTTTACTTGACTCTTAACGGTACTCTAAACAGGGAAATTTTTCTCTGGCCCTTCTGTTGATAATCATTTTAGTGAAACTAATGCTATTACTTTAGTGTTTTGTTGTTTAAAGATTTTATTTATTTATTTATGAGAGACAGAGAGAGAGAGAGGCAGAGGGAGAAGCAGGCCCCATGCAGGGAACCCGATGTGGGACTCCATCCCATCTCTTGATCACTCCCTGGGCCGAAGGCAGGCACTAAACCGCTGAGCCACCCAGGCGTCCCATACTTTAGTGTTTAGTGTTAATTACTATTAATACGTCAGCACTGTTTTTTTAAGTCCCTGGGGATTTCCTTGCCAATCCTACATATTCCTTCAGTAGAAGGAACCATAAATGAGCATGTTGGCCATGCTGCCCCTTTGATGGGACCACATTCAAATCATCCCTGGCAGATGAGAAGCACTTTTGTTTTCAAAGTCCTCCTTCAGCAGTGATTCCACATCTTTCTTCAGGACCTCCATAGTCAAGAAGCTCTTCGTCTTAGGTGCCTTGAATCCTCCTACACTGGCTTTGAGCCCATACTCTGAGTCTCTAGCTAGCACCTGAGATAGTGTTTTATATTCTTGAAGGCTATTATTAAATTGTTCTCAATAATACCACTCATGGCATGCTTACTGTGTGCCAGGTACTTTACACATATTCTCTCATGTAATATTTTCCAGAACCCAAAGAGGCATATACTGTCATCCTTTTGTACAGATGGGAACAGACTGTAGAGATGAGGTTCCGAGAGGTTAAGTAACAAGGGTTGAAAATAGGACTTGAACCAAAGATCATGTCTTATCTCAGAGTCCATCAAGTATTTAGGAAGAGTCTAGTATCCTAAGTAAGGGAGACTGGAAAAGACTAGGCAAATTGTGAGGATCACAGCCAAAGAGGCTAGAGTTCAGGCAAGCCCTAGTCCCAGTGAACGGAAAGGCTGATTTCAGGCTCAAGGTGAGGCATGCAGGTTACATGTAAGCAGGCTCTCCTACTTCTGCAAGTTTAGGTCAGCATCTGAGATGGCACACTGATCAGGGCCCTGAATTCCATACTTCATCTACAGATGGGTGGGTGGGTTTAGCATTCCTAAAGTGATAGTAAACTTAATCTAAGACAACCCAGCATAGGAAGGGGCAGGAGAGTAGGGGAGGGTATGTGGCTGAAACTGAAAGATGAAATTGGACTTTCTGAACTGACTTCAGATCCTTCAGTATGTGAGTTAGAAGCCATCTACTGAAAAAGCCTCATTCAAAATGAATAAATGCTTTTATAGGGGCTGATTTCATATTTGTATTTTTCTTAAAATTATCTAACTTTGAATACCTTCCATGCCTGCAGATATAGACCTAAAATTTGATGTCAGAGCTTGATGGGAAAATATAGAGCACATGTCTGAACTTATATCTGAGTTACTGTGTACTGTAGTCTAAATGAAAACCCTATGGTGCTGTAAACAACACAAAAAGTTTCTAGTCCTTTGGGATCATCTAAGCACACAGAGACACACACCTGCACCAACCTAAGGACCCCAAAATTTTGCATCTAAATGATGGGTAGGAAGTTAATCTTACCTTCCTTTTGAGACTATTTTGATTATTGGAGATCATTCTCTGAATTCCTATCACTTATCTGGCTCACTCATTTTGGCACATAACTTCATGCCTTCCTTGCATTGTACTTAACTTTTTCATGTGTGTCTATCTCCAGCAGAAGAATTATAAGCCTCTGGAAGGAAGCGTGTTTACTATAATACAGTGAGTGAGTGAATGAATAGATTTCCCCTATTAGGCTAATGTACTTTTTTTTTTTTTAATTTATTGGAATAGCCACCTAGAAAGGATTTTTAGCCCACATATACTAGTGAAAAGAGTAACCATTCTTTTTTTTTTTTTTTTAAGATTTTATTTATCCATTCATTCATGAGAGATGGAGAGAGGCAGAGACATAGGCAGAGGAAGAAGCAGGCTCCCTGTGGGGAACCTGATGTGGGACTCCATCCCAGGACCCCATGAAACTGAGCCAAAGGCAGACACTCAACCACTGAGCCACACTGGCGCCCCAAGAGTAACTGTTCTTTTTTCCAGATTTTAAAATGTTTCTACTTACAGCTGACAGATCTAACAGCAGATCCATAAATTTGTTCATACATTTAGTAAATATTTGAAGGCTTACTCTGTGCCAGACACTGTGTTATTAGCAGAATTAGCATAGCATAATTGAGTAATGTTCATATCCAAGGTAATGAGTTCTGGCATATAGAGACCATGGGGTTTTGTTTGTTTCTTAGTGTCACTTTATGGTAACTCTGCTTCCTCTTTCTTCCACCCCATTAAAACAACAACAGGTAGGTAATTCCACCCTCCTCACTGAGAAAACCACATGGTGTGTCACATTGTCCCATCCAATTCCGTGGATTATAGAGCCAGTCCCTAGACAAAATATGATGATGGTGTTGTGAAAAGCGATATCTGAGCTACGTCTGAGTAAAAGAGGAGGGCTAGTTTCATTTGGTTTGTACTTTCCTCCAGAGACAACTCTTATTGGAATTTGAACTGGAAGCAACTCAGAACATTTGGATAAAGTAGATGAATCACCGTCACATTTGTAACTCAAAAGTGTGCCAGCCTTGAAACATGTCCCTGGGACTGCAAGGGTACTGGCCTTCAAACCTGCAACATGGGGCCCAGTCTCTAAATTAAAAATTCTCCCTTCATACTCTGTGACCACCTGTTATTGCAATTACCATTTTGAATTTTAATTATTTCTCCCACTGAACCCTACCATTCAGGGAAAATTTACTTCATCATTACCTCCTAGTATCTTGCACATTATCTTACATACAGTGATCGCCTGGTAAATGTTTGCTGAATGAATTTAAAAGGATTAATATTAACATTGAATATTGTTTGAGTACACTAGAACTGCCTCCCTTCCTTGCACATTCAACTATGGATGTATATAAGTACACTAAGGTGGGATGGATCGAAAGAAAATGGAAGGACAACAGGATACTTGGAAACATTTAAAACCTAGCTTTTAAAATGTACTCACTAGGTCCATTTCTGTTAGGAAGGATGTTGGGTTTGAGGTAGGTAGGTGTTAAGGAGAATAACTACATGACTTCAAGCGCTTTGACAAAACCTCAGATGTGAGACCTTCTGGCCAAGCGTCTGAGATTTCATATTGTTGGAGCATTCACTGTATCCCTGGGGTTTCAGCTTTCTATAAGTTTGCTGTGGCCGAACCAAGAAAGAAGGCGTATGCAGATTTCTACAGAAATTATGATTTGGGGGTGCCTGGGTGGCTCAGTCAGTTGAGTGTCTGCCTTCAGCTCGAGTTGTGATCCTGGGGTCCTGTGATCAAGCCCCACATCAGGCTCCCTGCTCCATGGGGAGTCTGCCTCTCCCTCCCTCTCTGCCCCCCACCCTGTTATTGCTCTCCATCTCTCTCTCTCTCTCTCAAATAAGTAAATAAGTCTTTAAAAGAAAAGAAAGAAATTATGATTCCATGAAAGATTTTTTTTAAGATTTTATTTATTTATTCATGAGAGACATAGAGAGAGAGAGAGGCAGAGATACAGGCAGAGGGAGAAGCAGGCTCCATGCAGGGAAGTAGGCTCCACGCAGGGAACCTGACATGGGACTCAATCCTTGGTCTCCAGGATCACACCCCGGTCTGCAGGCGGCGCTAAACCTCTGCGCCACTGGGGCTGCCCTGATTCCATGAAAGATTTTGAGAAGATGAAGAAGGCTGGTATCTTTCAGAGAGCAAAGTAAATTTGGAATATAAAGAATTTCTTTGGATTGAGTTCCATTGAAGTTTGTCACTTACCTGTGTTCCTGAACTATGAAACACAAATACTGGATTATGGAATAGTTTCTCTTGTTAAATAAACAACTAACAAATATTTTTAACAATAAAAAAAAAATAATAATAGGGCAGCCCCGGTGGCTCAGTGGTTTAGCACCACCTTCAGCCCAGGGTGTGATCCTGGAGACCTGGGATCGAGTCCCACGTCAGGCTCCCTGCATGGAGCCCACTTCTCCCTGTGCCTCTCTCTCTCTCTCTCTCTCTCTCTCTCTCATGATTAAATAAAATAAAAAATCTTTAAAAATAATAATAATAAATAAAATAACATATACTCACTATTGTGTACTTATTTCAATTCCCCAATGTAGGAAACATGGATCTAAATGCCTTGTGCACTGCAAAATGGGGGTGAGTCGCTCAGCCTCCACTGTGATTGCCTATGCAATGAAGGAATATGGCTGGAATCTGGACCGGGCCTATGACTATGTGAAGGAAAGGCGAACAGTGACCAAGCCCAATCCCAGTTTCATGAGACAACTGGAAGAGTACCAGGGGATCTTACTGGCAAGGTGAGTCCTTCAGTGACTTTCTCAGATTTTCCCTCCAGTACGCTCCCTGGGGCAGGATAAAACATCCTTCCCTGCAGCTAATTCTCAGCCCAATTTGGATGTATGATACATTTTGAAAATTGAAACCTCTGTCAATCTAGTTTTTAAAAAATAAGTACAAGCATTTAAGAATAATACAGAAGATCAGGCATTCAAAAAATGATCTTTAAACCAAAAGGTGAAAATACTGTTCTCTTACTTTAATTCTTAACTTGGTGCTGATTATCATAAACATTTTTCAGCCTCTTCTAAGACCAGACACAGCTGCCTTATCAAAATGGATACTTATTGCTCCCAGAGTAATGCTAAGCATAGATGAAATTCTTTAAAAAAAATTAGCCCATTTTTTAAAAATAAATAAAAAAATAAAAAATACCTGGTGCTATTTTAGGCATCATTTTTTTTTCAGTGCTTGGTTTCAGTGAGCCTTCTCCAGAATTTTGGTTATGTGACAAATCACAGTTGGGGTATGAAGGCACTTCTGGAAATAACTCTCTTCTTTTAAAAATATTTTAATCTGAATATATATATATATATATATATATATATATATATTTTGCAAAAATGCAGAAAACACAAAGAAAAATCATTTATAAATTCAATACCCATAGACAGCAATCAACACTATCTTGCGTGTTTCTCCAGCTCTGACTCCTACCACATATATTGATGGATATTTTCTCACAAAAACTATTCTTCAACCTACCTACCTCTTCATCCAATAGCTGATCTTCTTTTTTTGTTTTTATTAAACTGCAGCAGTGTATATTGAACAGTTACACTGCACTTAGCCATCACTTGACCATCCTTTCTCACCCTCAGCTTTACTGAGATAGAATTGACATATAACATTATATACATTTAAAGCATCCAAGGTGTTGATTTAATGCATTTATATATTGCAGACTGATTATCACCACAGCATTAGCTTACACCTCCATTCCTTCACATACTGTTTCTTTTGTTCATGGTGAAAATATTTAGGATCTCTCTTAGCAACTTTCAAGTATATGATACAATTTTATAACCTATAATCTCCAGGTTGTGCATTAGATTCCCAGAATTTACTAATCTTATAATTGGAAGTTTATACCCTTTGACCAACATCTCCCCATTTCCCCCATCCTCCACCCCCTAATAACCACCACTTATTCTCTATTTCTCTTGGTTTGGCTTTTTAGACTTCACATATAAGTGATACCATTCAATATTTATCTTCCTCTGTCTACCCAGTACTAGATCTTAAACATCTTCCTGTATGAATAAGAATTCATTTCAACAATAATTTTGTAATCGGTTATAAAATGAGTAATGGATTATTATTTTACCCCATTGGTGGTGGAAGCCACTTTCAGGAAAGAGATTTGTATATTAAACTGGATTTAAGGATCAATTTCATAGGGATCCCTGGGTGGCGCAGCGGTTTAGCGCCTGCCTTTGGCCCAGGGCACGATCCTGGAGACCTGGGATCGAATCCCACATCGGGCTCCTGGTGCATGGAGCCTGCTTCTCCCTCTGCCTGTGTCTCTGCCTCTCTCTCTGTGTGTGTGTGACTATCATAAATAAATAAAAATTTTTAAAAAAGGATCAATTTCATGAGATGCCACATGCTAAAGTTCTGTGGAGTGCTACATTTTGCTTTGTTTTTTCCATATGGGCATGTCCTAGGTGATTTTGTTCAGATGAAGGCACAGCTGCCTAGAAGCAGTTGGGGCCAGTGCCAGAGTGTGACTCCAGTGAGTCTCATGACTTGGTCTTAACTCTTGAATCTGGGCTATATTTCCCTGAACAAAATGTTAAATAGCCTTCCAGCCTATCAGGCAGAGGGACCACCCTCCCACCCCCAAAGTCTTGTGAAAATGTGGCCACAGCATAGCATTATGGTTTCCACTAAAAAAAACCCTCCTGTTTACTCAGTACTTGGCATGATTTCATCTGAGCCATTCTTTTAGGAGGCAGGGAGGATACTCAAGTCTCCTCCACTTAAAAAGAACTTAGAGGTCTTTGGGGCCAGATTTTGATGACATTTTTAGATTAGATCAAAAGGTAGGACACAGCAGTTCTTTTTGGCACAAGAAAGAGGCATCTGGGGGTTAGATGAGACACAAATATTGTATGTTCCCAGACATACACATGACGGATGTTAGGCAGTGTCCTCACGTGACCCATTGAGAGCAAGGATACTATGTGTCCTGCCAATTTCAGTATTTATTCTGGAATCTCAGGCTACTGCAAGCTGTTGGGTTGGGGTTTTTTTTAGCGTATGTGGTTTTTCTTAGATATTAAAGGAACTCCAGAAAAATCTTAGATGAGGATAACAAGGGCAGCATAACCCACAAAATCACACTGCCTCTTCCTTTCCCTTTCAGTTCTATCCTGCCTTCCTAGGCTTGATTCATGGAGGGAGGAGCAAGCCCTGGGGAATGAGGAAACCACAGAATTTGAGTCAGTAGATCTGGTTTCCATCTCGGGTTCATCCTCTTGTTGCTACTTTGAGGAGTTACTTCACAGTTCTGATTCTCACCTGATTCCATCTATAAAATGACAAGAACCCTATGTCACACTGAAATTAATAATACACTGTATGTTAACTAAATTGAATTTAAATTAAGTTTTTTTTATTTTTTATTATTATTTTTTTTTTTTTTTTTTTTTTTTTTAATATTTTTTTCTTTATTTATTTATGATAGTCACAGAGAGAGAGAGATAGAGAGAGAGAGGCAGAGACACAGGCAGAGGGAGAAGCAGGCTCCATGCACCGGGAGCCCGACGTGGGACTCGATCCCGGGTCTCCAGGATCGCGCCCTGGGCCAAAGGCAGGCGCCAAACCGCTGCGCCACCCAGGGATCCCTATTATTATTTTTTTATATTTTTAAAGAACCCTATGCCACAGGGCTGTTGTAAATAAAAATGTGTATAAATGTACACTACAGCGCCTTGACTGGCTCAATCATTAGAGCATGCAACTCTTGATCTTGGGATTGTGAGTTCAAGCCCCATATTAGGTGTAGAAATTACTTTATAGTCTTTTTTTTTTTTTAAATGTACAATATATACTGGTAAGGGTTATTCTAATATAGTTATCATCATTTTTCTCCAGGGCTACCCAGAAACACATACATACATGTGCCATTTATCCCCTCCTTCTTCCTCCAACCACTGCCTGCCACCACCCACAGGCACATTAACTCCATTAGAAACTAGAATAGGAAGTGGTCCAGAATTTCCTGTACTGTGATGTTTCCTGGATTTTAAGAATTAGAATCTAGTGCTAGGGGTATCACTTAGACTGCTTTCAGCTGCAAGTAATAGAATACATCCATCAATCAAGTTCTCAACAAGAAACAGCATGCTTAGATTAGGATTATTTGAGGAAGGTTTTATAAAGCAATTTTTTATAAAGTTGTGGGATTGTAGTAGAATCAAGGGACTTGCGTCAGCAGAACTGTTTAGTAATAGCTGTGAGGCCTAAAGAGGGAGGGAGCAGTTACTAGAACCTGGAAGGAAACTCCTGGAGAAAAAGGCACCTTCAGAGAAGAGAGATAACCTTCAGTCAGGGGACACAGCCAACCTGAAGTGACCCTGCAGGGAGAGAGAGTTAGAGGAATAAGTGGCCAGTTTTTACTCTCTTCCCTCCAGACTGTCTCCTGCTGGGGCTCCCATGGAACAGTGAATACCCAAACCAAATTAGGCGTCTGCCAGTTAGGAAAAAGAGTGCGAGTGCCTGCTGGGTATACAGTCATTAGGATCTTCAGTCTCTGGTGTTTTCTTAAAAGACAGCACTTGAGGCTACTGGCAAACTAGCTGTCAAGTGTATTGGGCCCAACAGAATCTTGCCCAGCCCTTGAGTGCTACTCCAGGGTCTGCCTGCTTAGAAGAGCAAAGACCGAGAAGCCCCAGATTCCTGGAACTGTCTAAAGCTCTACAGCTTAGGTAACCAGGAGAAGAAAGTCCTTAGAAAAATCCTACTCATCTGTTTGCAAAGAAACCCATTTCCTATGGAGGCACTTAGATCTTATATTCCAGATCTTCTCCCAGAAGGATGTGCTAGTTTTCTCAAAAAGATATAGCCCTGCTACTAGCATTCTTTCAACTACATGGTTGTCTAGAGTAGCACTGGGTACTTAACTTGAGGTGGCAGCCCTCTGTTTGAGGGTGTTAGCTCGGTACTTCAACATCTTGGTGGAAAAGAAGTTTACCAAAGTGATACCAGGCTCCTGTGATTTATGAATTGGTCATAGTCTCTTAATCAGAATGTGAGGCTATGGGCCAAACAGTGACCACCTGTCTGAAATGCAGGGAACTTTTTGCATACTTCAGTATGTCATTAAGAGCCTGGGGAAGGCTAGTATTTAATATAATCCTTTGGACCTAAAAAGGGAGGGTATTGTAAAGCCACTAATACTGTTCATTTCTAATTTTATTTTTTGTGTTTTTATAGCTGGGGGATGGGAATGAGACAGGAAGAGGGTGTGTGTGTGTGTGTGTGTGTGTGTGTGTGTGTGTGTGTTGAAACCTTCCATTAAACTGCCAACAGCCGTGTTTGTCATTCTGTACTCTGATCATGCAGGTATCTGGCAGATTTTTGTTCCATTAGACAAGTTCAGATTTCAGGCATTTGCAAGCTGGACCATGTGTCTGTGATATTAGGTTCCAGTATACAAGGGGCAGAGAAGAAACTGGGTGGTAGCCAGGGAGAGTTCATGCCACATGTCTTCATAGATGTCAGTTTTGATTCTTTGAACGCCCCTATCACCAGGGCCAAAAGAGGCAGAGGTGTCTTTTACATTCCCCTGCTTTGCTGGTGGAGACTTTGAAGTCTTGTTAGCTGGTGCACAGTGGTCAGTCAGCAGGAGGGAATCTGAGAATGAACTCACATTACAATTGAGATTGAAAGGCTTTCCTTAATAGCTTTTCAGTGAAATAATCTTGAAGCATTTAGGACCATGGACAACACATAGAAAATGCTCAATTGATGCTTTTTCTTTCTCCTACTTTCTGTGGGCTACCTAATCCCCTAAGAGGTAGCATAAACAGTCTGATTTTACTATAACTGATATTTCATTTTTAGCAGTATTTTCCTCTATATAACTTTCTCAAAGTTGGTGCTTTACCAAACATGTAACAAGAAGAAAGAAAGCAAATTGGAGGCAAGAGAATGGGATAGCATATGTATCCTGTCCCTTAGATTTCCTTCTTGTTCATTTATGAAGTAAAAGGCCAAATTTTAGGGGAGGTGAGTGGGGGGTTGGGGTAACTGAGTGACAGACACTGAGGAGGGCACTTGATGGGATGAGCACTGGGTATTATACTATATGTTGGCAAATCAAACTTCAATAAAAACAAATGGGAAAAAAAAAAAAGGCCAGATTCTTGCCCAGAATGGCCCAATCATCGCATGTGTGTCAGTGTATTTATGTGAATCCAAATTCAGGTCTGAGATTTCTCAAGGGAGAAAAGAACCTGAAGCTTCTTTGCATCATCCAGGCCACAAACCAACTCTGAAGTTCTTTTTGGTGACTTGTTTACTTGATGCCTACCTGAAATAGATGGAGAGAGTCAGCTGAATTTAAACATTAACAGTTGGGATGCCTGGGTGGCTCAGCTTCTTGGTGTCTGCCTTCAGCTCAGGGCATGATCCTGGGTCTAGGGATTGAGTCCCGCATCAGGCTCCCTGCAGAGAGCCTGCTTCTCCCTCTGCGTATGTCTCTGCTTCTCTTTCTGTGTCTCTCATGAATGAATGAATAAAATCTTTTTTAAAAAATAAAATAAATAGGGATCCCTGGGTGGCGCAGTGGTTTGGCACCTGCCTTTGGCCCAGGGCGCGATCCTGGAGACCTGGGATCGAGTCCCACGTCGGGCTCCCGGTGCATGGAGCCTGCTTCTCCCTCTGCCTGTGTCTCTGCCTCTCTCTCTCTCTGTGTGTGACTATCATAAATAAATTTTTAAAAAAATTATAAAAAAATAAAATAAAATAAATGAACACTAACAATTTAAAAATAATAAATATGGTCCAGTGCCTTAAATCTATCCCTACCAGTGATCAAGCATCAGAATAAACTGACTTGGGGAAAAGCTGCACTGACAAACAGTTTGGTGTTACTAAAACTGATGATGCACATATGCCCTGTGACCCACCTTTTCTGCTCCTATATTTTAACATCTTTCATAAGCCAAAGTATGTACCAAGTGCAAGAATGTCCATGGCAGTAGTAGCCAAAATTGTTGATAGTAGCCAAAACTGTTCATCAACAGGATGGATAAATAAACTGTGATATATTCATCACACTCTGAAATTACAGCTGCACACATGGATGAATCTCAAAAACAGTGTGGACAAAAGAAGGTTGTAGAAGAATACATACATAGAGTATATTTTCATTTATATAAGTTCACAATATGCAAAACTAAGCAGTATATTTTTTTTAATTTTTATTTATGATAGTCACAGAGAGAGAGAGAGAGAGAGAGGCAGAGACACAGGCAGAGGGAGAAGCAGGCTCCATGCACCGGGAGCTCGATGTGGGATTTGATCCTGGGTCTCCAGGATCGCGCCTGGGCCAAAGGCAGGCGCCAAACCGCTGCACCACCCAGGGATCCCAACTAAGCAGTATATTAAGAACAAAGCCTAATGACACTATAAAGAAGATGATAAACACAAAATTCAGGACAGAGTTTACTAAAACCTCTGAGGTGGGAGGAGGAAAGTGCTTCCAAGACCATGGTAATTAATGAGTATCTTGATTATATCAGAGAGCCATCTACCACTCTCCTTGCAGGTCTTACTACAAAAATGAAAAAGCAGAATCAAACCTATCTTTGGTGGGGATTTTTCTTTCTCCTTTACAAGTCGGTGTCAGTTTAATTCCAGAGCCCTGACTTAATATTTTCTGATGATTACTTCCCACCGGAAGAGAAGGAAATCCCTGCTGGGCAAAAAGCAGCTGTAATGTCAGCCACTTCTGAAACATACTGTTGGTACCTATTAGCATAACTTCAATCTCATTCCCTCCTGATTGATTAGTGATTTGCAGGCAGTTTTGGAAAATCATACTTTGGAAGGTTCTTAGGATCAAGAAAAATCCCATTTGCCTGTTGACTGGTAAAATAAGCTGTTCCTTTATATTACTAGAAAGGTGAGAACAGCTACTCCCTGAAATGTCTTCCCAGTCATTTGCATCACAAGGAACTGTCCTGCCATCGATGCCTAGGGAAGTCGGTACAGGTTTGTACATCCTCAGGATAGATGAGGGATAGAAATTGGAGAACGCAGCCATATGTAGGTCAGGAAACAAGAGTGTCTAGATATAAAAGAAACTTTAAAGGGAAGCACATTGGCATGGGTTGGTCACAGTGTATATAGTTCAGGCTCCACCTCTCCAACCATTCAGTTTGCCCCTCCCCAGGGTCACTCACTCGTTTGGCATGTGTGATATGTTGTCTCCTCCTAGGGGTGGCTGGAGTTCATGCAGCTTGGAAAGGGTGAAAACCCTACCTTCCTCCCTGCTATTGATTGATTATAGCTTGTCTTCATAAACAGAATGACCTGATCCCTACCCAGAAAAGCACCCTTCTGCTGTGTGGGCCTGAGTCAGAGCAAGCCCCACCCAAGCAGCAGACAGACAGGGGTTACTTGAGAGCAGGTGCAGAGTTGAGAACAAATGGGTTCACATTAGTGCAGGCGCATGACTCGGCAGAGATTCACAGGCGGGCGTGGCACTGAGCCTGAGGTAAATTGTTTTGGACTATTTCCTATTACACTGTGCAGTTAGGTAACTCTTCATCAACTCATAAATCATGGAAACCACACCCCTAAATGCCACATTTAGGGACCTGTTTCCTGGGCAGGTGATCCTGACAGCCACAGGACCACCTTTTTCTTTTTGGCTTGGGCTTTGGGAATTGCTCCCTTGTTAGAGAGTATGGTTTGAAATGAAATTCTATCCCATCCGAACTTCTCTCTAGGGGCACCTCAGTGGTTTAGTCAGTTAAGTGTCTGCCTTCAGCTCAGGTCATGATCTCAGGAACCTGTGATCAATCCTGCCGGGCTCCCTGCTCAATAGGGAAGTCTGCTTCTCCCTCTCCCTCTGCCCCTGCTCATGTGTTCTCGCTCACTCGCTCGCTCACTCTCTCAAATAAATAAGATCTTAAAAAAAAAAAAAAACTCCATAAAACAAGCCAAAGGATGGATATGTGTGTGTGATCTTCCTTTGGGCCACCTGCTTTTCTATGCTTCCCCTTAGCTTCATGATTTTTATCCAAAGATTCTTATGGAAGGAGCCTATACTTTAGACGTATCCTCTTCCATTCTGTTAACCAACGTTTTTTGCAGATTTACTGGCTTCATCTTTGCTTTCTAATTCAAGAAAGATTACTACCCTCCTCACATTTCTACTTGAGTGATTGATCCTGTATCAGATTTTTATTCCAGTAATGGGGACTTATAATGGGCTCCAATAGAATACTTCTCTTTGTATTGCTTAGATGCTGTTTTGTTTTAGCTTTTCCCCTCTTGGTGATTAATGTTAAACATGCTCATTATTTTTAAATTTTAAAACCTATAGAAATATAGAATATAGAATGTAAAGCCCTCCCCGGAAGTATTCTGCCTTCCTTGAAAGAAACCCTGTTACCAGTTTAATTATGTTCCTCCAGGTATTTTCCTCTACTTATTGTAACATGGGAGCTGACCATTCTAAATGTGGTCAGCGTGCTTTTTCACTTAATAGTATACCTTGGACAACCTTCCACTAAACCTTCCATTAAAATACCTGTTTTTAACAGCTTCATGCATGGCATGTAGGTATATGGACTGTAATTTAAATAAATCCTCTTTCGTATGTGTCTGTCTCATCCTTTGGTACCACTGTATTACATAGCAAATATCCTTATATCCATATCTTTGTGCACTTATAGTAGTATTTCTCCAAGAAAAATTCTTAAAAGAAGAATTTTGGTTGCTGGTTAAGAGTTTTTTAATTTAATTTTTAATTGCTGGTTAAAGAGTTAAATTTTGAGAGCTGTTATCAGATTTCACTCTCAGAATTTCTACAATTCACATTCCTACCAACTGTATATGAGAAGATTTGTTTGGCCATGCCATCATCAACACTGGCTGCTAGCAATCCATTTTAAGCTCAGTCTGATAGGTAAAAAATCAGATCTCATGTTCGTTTTTATTGTTATTTTGCTTTGTTTGTCTTTTGCTATTAGTTAAATTGAGCACCTTTACAAATGTTTATTGCCTACTTCTTCCCTTGGGTATTAACAAAGCATTTTGCAAGTTAAGATTTAGATTTATCTGGGAGCAGTTTCCTGGGAGGGTGTTGATTGATTTCACAAACCAGAATAAGGCATTTCCTGTGTATGTCTTCCACAGCAAACAGCGGCATAACAAGCTCTGGAGATCTCATTCAGATAGTGACCTCTCAGACCACCATGAACCCATCTGCAAACCAGGGCTAGAACTCAACAAGAAGGAGATCACCAGCTCAGCAGACCAGATTGCTGAGGTGAAGACCATGGAGGGTCACCCCTCCATACCACCCGTCTTTGTGGAACATGTTGTCCCACAGGATGAACATCAGAAGGGTCTGTGTACCAAAGAAAGAATGATCTGCTTGGAGTTTACTTCTAGGGAATTTCATGCTGGACAGATTGAAGATGAATTAAATCTAAATGACATCAATGGATGCTCATCAGGGTGTTGTCTCAATGAATCAAAATTCCCTCTTGACAACTGCCATGCATCCAAAGCCTTAATCCAACCTGGACAGGCCTCAGAAATTGCCAGCAAGTTCCCAGACTTAACAGTGGAAGATTTGGAGACAGACGCACTGAAAACAGATGTGAATGTCCACTTGCTGCCTTTGGAAGAGTTAACATCTCGCCTAAAAGACCTTCCCATGTCCCCTGACCCTGAATCTCCGAGCCCCCAACCCAGCTGCCAGGCTGAAGTCTCAGATTTCAGTACAGATCGCATTGATTTCTTTAGCGCCCTAGAAAAGTTTGTAGAGCTGTCCCAAGAAACCCGATCCCGATCCTTTTCCCACTCAAGGATGGAAGAGCTGGGTGGAGGAAGGAGTGAGAACTGTCGACTCTCAGTGATGGAAGTCACCCCTTCTGAAGTGACAACCGATGACCAGAGAAGCAGCTCTTTGAGTAATACTCCCCATGCATCTGAAGAATCTTCAATAGATGAGGAACAGTCAAAGGTAAAAACTATAGTAGTTCTCTACCTAATGAAGTTCTCTTGGAAGACAAAATCTTTGGGATCCTGTGTTTATTTTGTATTTGATGTTGCTAAAGATTTAGGAAGGCAGCATGGGAGAGACAGTGTAGCTGAGACTTTTCTTGAAAACTTAAGTTTTAAAATTTTTTTTAATCCATTGCCTTTTGTGGAATTTATCTTTCCAGGCTCTTGGTGTCTTTGGAAGCACTTCTGAAAGGGGGATGTGGGGAAAAAGGGATTAGCCGAAACAAATGTCCTGCCTGCACAAGGAGAGGTCCCCTCCCTGGGCCTCTGCAGTTTGGATCAGATCTCACAGATAATGAAGTGCCTTGGACAGACATGCTGCCTTAGAAAGACCTGAGTCTCTCGGAGGACGTCGATTTGTTTAGGAAATTCCGTCTTAGAAAATTCAAAGATTAGACGTTTGTAAATATAGTCGTTAGAGTAGCAATCGATGATGAGTTCTTGCTATTGATAATGTTTCTGGATTGTTCCTCATCTCAGGCCCTATGGTATCCAAGACTTGAGGGATGGTTTTGGGAAATGATTGAGAGCAGACAGGATCTGAAGATTCTTCTCTGTGGCATGTGAGCCCTTAGGAGCCATTTCAGGCCAGGGAAAGACCTACTGTGTGTCATCAGTTCTACAGCTCATACTTACATGTCATTTTGCACTTGAGAAATTGGGATATATCTTAAAAGCAGTGGTATATTAGATCAGTTTAATACAGTAGTTGGGAAGCAAATGGTGACAGATTTACTCTCACGAACCAAACTTCACTTAATGATTCCACTGGGGATGACTACATTTTTTTACATCTCCTGATACCTGCCTACTTATATTTACCACCTTGTCCCTGACTTATCTTTTCTCTAACTACCTCAGGGCAGTCATTGCCTCTGCTTCTGTCTTCTCTCTCCAAAAGTTATGCCCCTGCTTTATTTTACTGGGAAATCAGAAATGCTTGAACTATCCTTTGGACCAGTCAGTATAGTAGCTCTGACAAAAATAGCTTTTCTGCAGAGTCCCTCGTCATATGAGCACTCTCTCCACAGCCCATGCACACACTGGGCCCGCTGTGGCTTCTCTCCCAGTCTTGGCTAGTTTACCCCTGCCAAATGTCCCAGCAGATTCCTCCCAAAGGTGTAACTGACCTTGTTAGTTTGTACTAGCTCTGACTTTCTTTTGAAGGAGAAAGACCAGAACAATTCCAAGGGAAATACTAAACTTTGAAGGTTTATAAAAATGTTAAAGTAAATTGATGGTTATCATGATGCCACTTTAAGAGATGTCCAACGGCCATTTTTCAGACTATGAAATTCTTATCCTCTTTTTTTTTTTTAACAATAGGACTTGATTTTATATTGGCTAATTTTCTTTTGCCTCGTTCTAAACCATCTAGGAATTTGTAACTGGTAGAACAATAAAATGTCAGAGAGTCACAGTTTCTAAGTTTGCTTAAGCATGTGGCTCCATAAACCAAGTAAACCTTGCCCAGAAGGAGCCTTGTGAAACTTGGAAGTTGTGTGATCAGGTACAGAGTGCCCTCATGTGCTGGAATGCTACTGCCAAAAGATGCAGTGGGAAGATAAAGATGAAAGCTGGCAGGACAGAAAAGAAGAGAACAGTGAGATTCCAAATCAGACATCAGATGATAGTCTCTTCCATCCTGCCTGAACACTGGGCATATTTAAGGTGACCACTGAGCCCCTAAATGGAACTCTTCCCCTTGAACTAGGTGAGAATCAAACTGGAAGTTGATAGGCCAGAGAAGAAAAATCTCATCTACCCCAGAATGACCTAAATCCTGAAGACTAATAATAGTCTTAGGAAAGTAAGGATTATAGGAACCTCCAAGGCTATCCGATGTTCATTTGGGAGGAAGATATTGGGTTGGAATTCTGTTTGAGTAAACAGAACAAAAGTTTAGTAGACCGTGATTCAACCTGTAACAAGTTTTGTATCTCTGCCTTTGACGAATCTGGGTTGTTTTTTTTGGGGGTTTTTTTTTTTTTTCTTGTCTGATAAAACAGATGGCCAGAGGACAGTCTCAGGCGCTCCATGATTTGTGTCCTCATAGCCAGAAGGTTCTCCTGGATTAGAAGATTAATAAGCAAAACATCTGGCATTCTTAATGAGACTGTTTGCCATAACCATCTCACTGTTTTCTCCCTAGGCAATCTCAGAACTGGTCAGCCCAGACATCTTCATGCAATCTCACTCAGAAAATGCAATTTCGGTCAAAGAAATCGTTACTGAGATCGAATCCATCAGTCAAGGAGTCGGACAGATTCAACTGAAAGGAGACCTCCTATCTAACCCATGCCACACACCAAAGAAGCACACTATCCATGAGCTACCCCTTGAAAGGGCCCATGCCCTAGAGAACAGACCTGGAAATCTGGAGCAGAGTGAGGGTTCCTACGCAGCCCAGCTTGAACTAGCCAAAGACTCAGGGAAGTGGGACCTTGAAGGCTGCCTGACGACACACTCATCGACCACAGAATTAGAAGAAGAGGAACCAGCTGAGGAGGAACAAGAGCTCTGGGGCCCAGGAATGCACCCAGGTGCCAAGTGGTGCCCTGGGTCTGTGAGGCGAGCCACCTTGGAGTTTGAAGAGCGCTTGCGACAAGAGCAAGAGCACCACGGTGCTGCCCCTGGTTGTACCTCATTGTCTGTTCGCAAGAATTCCAAGAATGATTCTTCTGTAGCAGACCCAGCACCAAAAGGGAAAAGTGATGAAGCTACCCTTGAACATTCTTTTATCCCCAAGGAACCAGAGATTAACAAGTGCAAAGGGAAATGCGGTGGGTCTGAAACTGGTTCACTACCCCATTCTGAGCAAAATTCCATTGTTCTAGCGCCTGAGCTGCTGGTGTTTCAGGAACGCCCGGGGTCAGATACTAGAACAAACCAGGAAGGAGTCCTGAGGGAGCAGAGGACTGTGGTTTCATGCCAGGGATCAGAGACACAGGCGGTCCTTCTTTCCCTTCCCAAGAAGGTGGAAATCTTTGAGTCTACCCACACAGTTACACCCCCTGATCACCCTGGGCTGGGGGGTGAAAGAGCCACCAGCAAAAAGAGTGGGGAGCAAGGGCTGAGGAAAGTGAAAGTGGAGGACTCCATCACCATCCTCTGTGCACTGGATGAAAATCTGAACAGGACTCTGGGCCCCACCCAGGCTCCTCTGCACCCCAACGTGCTACCTCTGTCTCATTCTTCCCCTCCTGAGCACGACAGCCCCACCGACATGACCTCTACCCTGGGCAGCCCTGAGGACTGGGACAAGAACCTGTCAACAGCCCCAGACACAGGAGTGTCTTCTGTCAGTCACACAACCCATGTACCATCTGCCAACTTGGATTATGCACCTCCCCAGACCGTTGTTCACCTGGAAGGCTTCACAGAGCAAACCAGCACCACAGACAATGAGCCCTCATCAGAGCAGGGTAGCTGGGAAGAAAGTCAGGAGGGCCCCTTTTCTGGTGGCAGTGAAGTGCCATCTGAGGACTCACAGCTAACCAGCAAAGACCCAGGCAAACTCGAAGACAATAGTGGGGGGTTACAAGAAAAACTGGACCCATTTCTCATAGCCTGTCAACTCCCACATAGCTCTAGTAGTGACAATATAAAGGGTCTCAGCAATAGCCCCAGTGTGGTGAAGGAGCGCACTAAAGAAATCGAGTCCCGAGCGATTTGCCAGGGAGGGCTCACCAAACCATCCCAAATGAGGCATTCGGCTTCCCTTGCCAAGTTGGGTTACTTGGACCTCTGTAAAAACTGTTTATCAGAGAGAGAGCCTGTCTCCTCTGATCCCCCTCATCTCAAACTGCTCCAGCCCTTCATCAGAACGGATGCAGGCATGCATGCCATGGAGGCCCAGGAGCCCTCAGAATGCCCGGATGCCCCCCAGAACCTAGAGCCCACCAAGTATTTTATAGAGCAACTCAGAACAACAGAGTGTATTGCGCAGAGCAAGCCAGTGGAGAAGCCCATTGTACAGTACGCCAAAGAATTTGGTTACAGTCAGCAGTGTTCGCTCCCCAGGGCAGGCCCCGAGTTGACTAGTTCTGAAGGAGGCCTGCCTTTGCTCCAATCCCAGGGACTGCAGTATGCGGGTCCGGCTCCAGGGCTGGCTGTGGCGCCCCGTCAGCAGCACGGCAGAACTCACCCCCTTAGGAGACTGAAAAAAGCAAACGACAAAAAACGGACAAGCAACCCCTTCTATAATACCATGTGATTCTGAGCCTACACATGGAACTTTCTAAAAGAAATGTTTATAAAAGGGGCAGGTGTAATATGTAAGGAACATGCACTTTATTGGTTAATTTTATAATATTTTGGTCATTTTACTGTTCCTGGCGCATGCAGGGTTTGGGTTTTTTTCTCTGTGTATGTGTGTGAGAGAGAGAAAGATTGATTTGGACAACTAGACCATTTTTATCATTTTTTATTTTTAGAAAATTCAAACCTCAAAAAATACTCATTTTCAAAGAGCACCTTTATCAAAGGCAAATTGCTGTTTTTCAATCAGCTCCCCTCTGAGAAAAAAACATGCCTGCTTGCTTAAGGAAGGAAGCAGATGGGGAGAATGGAGATGAAGCTGGAAATCGGAAATGCTCACCTGGGCCTGTGTGATGATGGTTTGGGCTTCAGACCTGATGCATAGGATTGGACTGAAGGGCAGCCACACGTCCATGTGCTCTCATCCTTGGGCCCCAGCCCACTGAGAGTTCCCCAAGTGGGCTGATTCTGCTTTGCTTTCAAAGGGGGGTCTTCCAGAAACCACTTCTGGATTCCAGAGTGTATCATTTCCAAAAGGCATGATAATGGCTGGCTTTGTAAACTTACCAAGCAAATAGTTTTTTTTTCCCCCAAGCACATAATTTTTAAATTAAAAGAGAACCCCCAAATGAAATCTTGAGAGATCCTGTGTAGAAGAAAGTATAGGAGGAGGTGGAAGCGAAGTGTGCAGAGGCTGCGGCACAGTATCTTCCAGGTCAGTGGGCTGCACATAGGCAGTTATCCTGGACCTCCCTGCCAGGAAATGTGCTCTGCAACATCCTCTCAACAAAAACATAATAGGGACAAGTTTGAAAAACAGCAATTGAAAGTCAGTGTGTTCTTGTAAAATGAATACATCCGTAGGGTTTTAACACTTCCATTACTTGAATAATTCTGTGGGCCTTCTGAGTTTAATGGCCATTTTTTTTCCAATTTACTTTACTTCCTCGTGCTGTTTCTCCCAGTGCTGCCTTTTTTTTTTTAATTTCATAGATGATATTTAAATTGTTACGTTACCTATGTATAACCTCCGTTGAACGCAAAGTTTTCTTATCGATGTTATCACCGTTAACACTTGACATGGGGTTTTTTTTTCTCCTTTTCCTGGAAGATTTGTCATTTCTCTACTTTATACACAGTATTTATGTACATAATGTTGTCACTTCCTTACAGTGTTTTGTTGTTGATGTCGTAGGGTCTTTTTGATTTAATCTTTTTAAGAAGGAGTAAAGCTGCAACTGGAGAAAACACATACCACAGAAATAAAGCTGATGGGTGTTGGTAGGAATCTGCAGAGTCTATTGATGGTGGTTGTAATCATTTAAATGGAGACTTCTGATCGCCAGCTCCTGCCAAGTTATGTTTTAGTAACTTCCTCCTTGGAGAAACTCCTTCAGGCTCCCATAGGTCACATTTTGACTGAGAGCTGAATTCTCTTTGAGGCTGAAATCCCAGTGGGTTATTTGCCAGTAGCTGAGCCACAGCCAGGGAGTGTGTATGAGTGTTCCTGCTGCCCAGGGTGGAAGTTTCTAATGCTAAGGGCAGGCACCCATTATGACTCCGGTGTCATTACAACTTTAGGATGCTGTTGCTTTGCTGCTTTCGTGGAGATGCCTAACACAGGAGCACTTGCCATAAACAAGCCAGTTTGAGCTTCTTACAGAAAACATTCAGCCTGGAATGAAACACCTGTAGCTCATCAAAACTGAAGAGGTTTGCAGATTTGCTTCCTGGTGCTTCGGTGGATGTCCACATTGCTGAGAGATTGACCGAGTACAGCCTTGGGCTTTGGTATTTGGCTCATCCCGGCACTGAGAGGAAAAGACAGATGCCCAGATATCAAAGGCCACAGTTTGGTGGGAGCAGATAGTAGGGTGACCTGCAGGAGAGAGGAAAGGTGGACTGAGGTCATTCATAGGTGCTCCAGGGGAGCTGTGAATCCAGTTCCTGTGTGGAAGCTACAGTTGGGTCTCACATCACTGCTGGGAGGTAGATTGGACAGAAACCTCCTGCTCTTAGTGTCTCTAGGATGTAGTAATTACACGTACTTGTGCTGTCCTTAAATAGTTCCCTTAAATGTTTAAATATATCCTCCACATGGCTTTGTGGTTCCTGGATATTCAATGTGCTGTAAAGTGTTTGGGTTTAGGTGGTATTTGTATCAATGTGAAGAGGATCGCAAGACAGGGTTATGAATTTCCAAGGCTCATCCATCTAAATGGCCCTGTCTTGTTGAGGCAGTTCCACCACCCTCATTATGATAGGAAAAGGACAGGAAGTGTGGCAGGGTTGGGGAGAAGGATTTGCATGGAGGTGAAGAGAGTAGTGTCCCCTCCTTAACCCTTTGCAATGATGACCTCCCTCACATTAAGTACAAGCAGGATCGACAGTATTGCCCTGTTCTCTCTCATCCTGCAACTGCGGTTAATACTGCATTAAATAACAACAGAGAGGGGGAGGAGATCCTCTAATGCTGTGAAGAAAACTTTTTTTTTTTTATAGAAAAAGGGGAAAGGAAATAGTCTTGGTCTGCCTTCCTTTTTTTGAATTACATTTTTTGTTATCATTTAATTTGCCCACTTAAATAAACATCCTCTATATGGGGTCTGTAATTCAACCATGCCATATAGGGTTTTGCCAGCCCTTTCAAACTCCCACAACTGAGTGTTCTTATTTGCATAGCTGAGCGATGTCCAGGGAAAATACATGATAAGCTATCAAGGACTTTTCAGACTTTCTTCTCTTCAAACTTTTTGATAATCTTGGGTGGTTTATTTCCCTTCTCTGTTCATGGAAAACTCAGATACAGAACAGCAGGTCTAGTAGGTTGACAGAGATGAGTAGGAAAAGTCTTGACCTCTTGCTCAATGCCTCTCTTTTGAAATCCACCATAGTCTGACTCTCAGTTACTCTGGAGGAGAGAGAGAGAGAGAGAGAAATATGTGTATGTGTGTGCACACGCGCGTGCATACACCTGCACATGCAAAAACAAAGTAACGTTTTGGTGAATGGGGTAAAAACCCCAGAAGCACACAACTTTTGAGCTGTAATCTAGAGGGTTACCTGGTCATTAGGAAGGAGAGAAACCCCAACCCTTTCTTGATTTCAGAAACACTTAGGTGTAGTGTATACTAGAGTAGACCTGTAGTACTGTAGTGTAGTAATATTCATCTCTCATTTTGGTTGCCTTTCAGATTCTTAATGCTTGGGATCATTCTTAGCATCCCAACCTCTTAAGGCTCTCTATCTAGCAGTTTCCTGGTTCTGTACCTTTATTGGGGACTTCTCATTTGGGGAACTACCAAGAGCTCCAAGGATGGCCTAAGAATGATAGCCCAGGCTCTGAGGTCCCCTCCTGCTAAAGGGGCCCAGACAAATACTTTTGGATAGACCTGAAGTTTCTGAGACATAGCAGCTCACAAAAATCTTCACCTATTCCATCTGAGAATTTCAGTTTTAAAGCAATCCAGGCATGTTTGGTAAAGATGTTTTCGTGGGAGTTTTTTCTTTTAAAAAAGAAAGCATTATTGCGAAGAGGGTCACTTTTAAGGGCATTTTAAAATTTTTAAATCCATTCTTAGGCTCTTTTTGAAAACTATTTGTGGATACTTTGTTTACATTGTGATAATTAAAACGTGCATCATCTTGACAGCCACTGAGTCCCCTCGTCCAGGCACCCAGCCCCGGCTGTCCTGTGAATCCTCAAACAGAGCAGGGCCACAGTGGCCAACCCTCAGGGGTGAATGAGGAGGACCTGGAGCTGACTCCCATCTGTCCTGCTGTCCTGTTCAGCACTCTGTGTGGAAATAGCCCTTTCCTCAGTCAGTGATGGTGTGTCTTACAGTGATGGTTATAATGGTGAATGGCTAGTGTCATTTTTGTCTAATTTTGTTTTGCTTTTTGATGGTAGATGAAATTTTAGCTCTTTCAGCACCAATGCAACTTGAAGGTATCTTGGACTTTGTTTTCCTTTCCAGACTAGAAGATCAAGGCATATATTAGGCATAAATGTACTTGCTGCCTCAGCTCCTCTGACACTCATATTAGGAAAAAGCCCACCTCCAAAGCAGGAAGCTGCATGCTCCTCACTCCTGTTCCAGGGCTTTGAGGTCCCTTGATGCCATGGAGAGCTATTGCAAGGTGCTTCTGTACTTTTCCACCCTGGAAGTGGAGGGTGACCGGGCCTGGCTCTTGCTATGAAAAGAAAACCAGCCTCATTTTCTCAGTGCCCCAGAGATCAGGACAGGATTTCTAAACTAGAGTCATCATTGGCTTGAAGATGCCTCAAAGGGTCTATGACTAGTGCTAGTCATCTGTGTCCTCACAGCGACACTGGTGGTAGCATCCTCCGTGCACATGCAGAGCTAATACCCAGGGCTTAATTGAAGCTGATGACTCAATCTGGAAACTGGGTAACTGGCCCTGAAATGATTCTCAGTCAACAGGCCTGCAGGCAATTGTTTGGTTTTTCTGTTTTTGGGGGGTTTTGGTTTGCCTGGCATAGCTTAAGGTGCCTTTTATTTTTTTTTCTTCCTACTTTATTTCATAGGACTTGTTCTAAATGTAGAACGCAAGTCCAAAAGACTCTCCCACTGACTGTTAACTTTGCCCCAGGCCAGTCCCAAACTTTTATGCTCACATTTTATTAAATAAAGCAGGTGCTCCCTGGAATCTCTGGGACCTTTTTGAGGCATTTGAAGCAGAATATAAAGAGTGGTCTCATCTCCTTCCTTAATCTTCCTGGTGGTTGGGATGTTCCACTTGTATCATAGATTTTTTTTATTACTGATGTGCTCTGCTGTTTTTAAATGTGAACTTGTGCGCAAATGTGCGGATTCAATGTTCTTGTTACAGATTAAATAAATTTTTATTTTGAAGATGAAACGTGTATTTGATAAAGTGCCACAAAAGGGGGGCGATGCTGAGAAGGTGGAGGGATTGGAAGAGAACACTGATGAGCAATGCAGCACATGGAACACTTCTCATTGATCTCTGTCATGTACATCCTTAAGAGTTAGCTGAGCTCTGGGAAGAAGTACAACTTTCTACCTCCCAGAAAATAAAGACTGAATGGGAAATAGAATCACTAAAGATTATTTCAGACTTTGTGGCTCCAAGTGACCAAGCTGGGAACCTGCCTGGTCAAAGAAGCTCTTGCCAAAGCCACCACCTGGGTGTTAGGAGAATGAATAAGCAAAGGGACCAAAAGTCCTCTGCCATGTGTGGTACAGAGTGACTGCTCTGGGACAGCTGCTGTGACCTGCCCCAACAGGGACTAGATTTATTGGGTGGCTGACCTCTCTGGACATTTGTGAGATAGAGCTCACAAGCTCCCAGCGCAAGCCACCTCAGCTCACTGATTTCTAAAGAAGTAAAAACTTTTTAACCCTCTCTTGCCATTAGAAGAGAAGCATTGGATGTCAATGGTGGAAGAAGGGAAATTAGATCAACAGTTCTCTAAAACAGGCTGGGTCTGGAAGGGAGAGGCTCTCCAATTCTCCCACTCCTCCACAGACCCATCATGAGATATTTAGTGGTACCATTCATCACATACAAGGCATCACTATTACCTAGAGAAAGCTCAGTTTCCAAATTGCTAACAAAGCGATGTACTGACATTTCCAGAGAAAATACTGCCTCAGGGGCACCTGGGTGGCTCAGTCGGTGAAGTGTTTGCCTTCAGCTCAGGTCATGATCCCAGGGTTCTGGGATTGAGCCCCACATTAGACTCCCGGCTCAATGGGGAGCTGCTTCTCCCTCTCTGCCTGCTGCTCCCCCCGTTTGTGCTCTCTCTCTCTCTCTCTCTCTCTCTCTCTCTGTCAAATAAATAAAATCTTTTTTAAAAAATACTAAAATACTGCCTTAAACTAAAGTTAAGCCTGCCTGCTACATTCTGAATTACCCAAATCAAGTAGGAGGGGCACATCACTGGTCTCTGGCTAAAGTGCCAGTGCATGATGGTGAAGGCAAGGTCATTTTACAAAATTTTCTACGGGTGCCTGGCATCACTGACTAGATAAGCTCAGTCTGTATGGCCAAAGCAAATAGGGTCTAGTTGCCAGGCCACCTCTTCCAGAAAAAGACTTTATGAAAGATTAAATCCATGCCTGTCTTCTACAGATTGTAGTTCAAAACCCAGCTAATAATTCAATTGGTTAACCACACAGGAAAGCACCACGCCCAAATGGCTTCTTCCCCTGATTAGTTCTTTATGCCTAGGATCTGCCTGCCCACTCTCTGCCAAGCTTTGGCAGCCAGAAGAAAGCTAGAGGGCAGGGCTGAGGCATTCCTGGTCCAAGTATTACCTGTGAATCCCTGCTCCTGTACCTGGAGAGCACCCTTCTTCTCAGATGACAGAACCAAAGGCAAGGTGGATTGAAGGATTCCTACTTCCTAGTTTCAGACTCTTGCCTCTAGAATAGAAGGCTCTTTAAAGAGGAGAAAAAGCAAGGGAGAAAGAAAAGGTAAGAGGCAGCATGTCAAACTCCTTGTCTGCCAACAGGTGGTGCAGAGTCGGAAAGAAACTGACCCAGGCCTCTCCTGTTCTTTACAGCTCAGAGAACTGCAAAACTGGGGTGATTGAGCCAGAGCTGGAACTCCAGTTTTCTAATTAGTCTAAGCATCCTTTCCTCTGTGCCACAAAAAGTAAATCTCAGTATCAGCATTTATGAGATAAGGTGGCACTATCCTTCAAGAGACAGAAATGCATGGTACTGAAAAGCATGGACCCAGGTGCTGGACCCCTGGATAAGTCTCAGCTCCACCAACTACCAGTTGAGTGATGGGTAAGCTACTTAATCTCTCTGTGCCTTGGTTTCCTCACCTATAAAATAGGGATAATAATAGCTAATAAGGCTATTATCAGAATGGAATCAATATTAGAACAGTGTCTGACACAATAACTACGAGCTATTGTTATTAAGGAGCAACTGAGTCACTCAGATCTTTCCCTCCTAATCATGTGCCTGGAATCTTTAGGTGAAAAGGAGACTCATCTACCCTTATGGCCCTCCCTGCCATAAACTATTTCTGGAGCACCCGTAACAGTTTCTGATTCTGTTCCCCTACAAGCCACTGGATACTCGGACTCTTTCTGAGAAGGAGCCTTGTATGGGCTATCACCTGCCATCTCCTTTACTCCCAATGCTAATCTCTGCCCTCTGGAAGGCCATTCCATTGATTCCCAGGTGTGCCTTGGAGAATTGGAGGTAATAACTAGCCTCATACTGTCCTCCAGGGCCTGATGATCCAAAGCAAGAAATCGAGGCAGTGGATGAATGCTGGGTGCACAGCAGCTTTCAGGGACAAGCAGTTCTTCACTGGCTGTATTTTGACAGGTTTCTTTTTATTTCCTCCTTAGCCTTGATCGATACGCAGATCTGTGGGTTTCAGGGGGAGTGAATGAGGGCTGGGACTTCCCTGGAACACAGCTGGGCATCAATTCAAACAAGTCCCAGAAGACTTAGGAGTCAGGCTGGGCATCTAAAATTTGATTACTGGGGCTCCCGGGTGGCTCAGTAGGTTAAGTATCAGCGTTTAGCTCAGGTCATGATCTGAGGTCCTGGGTTGGAGCCCAGCCACCAACTGACTCCCCTCTCAGCAGGGGGTCTGCTTCTCCCTCCGCCCCTCACCCTGCTCATGTTCTCACCCTCATTCTCTCCCTCAAATGAATGGATAAAATCCTTCTTTAAGTAGGGACGTCTGGGTGGCTCAGCGGTTTAGCGCCTGCCTTCGGCCCAGGTCCTGATCCCAGGGGTCCGGGAATCGAGTCCCACATCGGGCTCCCTGCGTGGAGCCTGCTTCTCCCTTTGCCTTTGCCTTTGTCTCTGCCTCTCTCTTTCTCTTCTCTTCTCTTCTCTTCTCTTCTCTTCTCTTCTCTTCTCTTCTCTCTCTCTCTCTCTCTGTCTCATGAATAAATAAATTTTTAAAAATCTTTTTTAATAAATAAAAAATAAAATAAAACGTGACTGCCAAAGGCCTGTGGCAGCTGCTTCTCCTCGATGTGGTGTCTCCCCACGGGGTCGAGGTGGATTCACTTCCCCATCTTTGGGCTGCCTTTCTGCCGGGCTCCACGGAATCCTCTCTAACCGGGTGAAAGGCCTAGTTACAGTGCCAACGTGTTAGGTTCTCAAGTGGTCGCTATGGCCACTTATAACAACAGTAACAGCGACATTCACAGCGCCCTGTCGGGTACACCGGAGCAGCCCTGGCTCGGCCCTCACTCAAGGGCTGGGAAGACTCCGTCAGGGCATCTTTCCGGACCCTGTCCCCGGGAGGGTCCGGACGTGCAGGCCCGCAGCCGAGGCCGCCAGCCGGCACAGGCTGAATTCGAGTGCGATCGCAGCGGGAAGGCGGCGCGAAGGCACCTGATCTTGCGCGCGGCCGGCTCTCCGTGCCGGAGCCCAGCGGGGTGCGGGAACCCGGGTCTGCCCGGCCTGCCCGGGAGCACCGAGGGCGGGGAAGGAGCGCGCGCAGCCCGCCAGACACACTCCATCACTCTGACAGCTTTTCGCGGCCGGCGGCCGGGCTGCGCGGGCTGCGGGGGCTGCGGGGGCTGCGCGGGCTGCGGGGGCTGCGCGGGCTGCGCGGGCTGCGGGGGCTGCGGGGGCTGCGGCGCTCGACTTTCCCGCCGCTGGAGGGGCGGGGCCGCTGTGGCCCCGCCCCGGCCCCGCCCCCGCAGGTTGATGGCAGCGGCAGCTGGGACTGCAGCGACGCCGGGCCCGGAGAGCCGCGAGCAGCGGCCCGAGCGCGCAGAGGAACACCCGGGCCCAGACGCCGCGGACACCCGGAGGGGAGGTTCCCGCATCCCGACTCCCTCGGCCCCAGCGCGCACCTAGCCCCTCTGCAGAGGAGCCGCAGCGCGAGCGCCCCTCGCCCACTCAGCACCAGGTACCCCCTGCCCCCTGCCCCCACCGCAGCCACCCAGCGGGCGGGGGCTCTAGAAGTGGCTGAGATCTGCGCCCCCTCCCCCGCGCCGCCAAATTCGGTCCCGGGCGGGGCGGACTTGGTGTCTATATTTGGCCGGACAGCGGCCCGCGCGCCTGCACTGCACCGACACCTCGCTTCCTAAGAACGCAGTGCCGGGGCTGGAAGCCCGAGGAGGGTGCGGGGAGGCCCGGGCCTCAGGCCTGGGGCCGCAGGAGCGGCGTGAAGGGCACAAGGATGCCCGGGGCTGGGGAGGGGCAGGAGTCAGGGGATGGGGTTTGGAAGAGCTCCATGAGTCCCCTGGGGAAGAGCACAGCACAGACCCCAGCTGAAGAAAAAGCACTTCACCCTCCCCACTCCTGCAAATCTGGCCCTAGCCCCGCGGGGTTGAGGACCCCACCCTGGGAGAGTTCAACAGGAGAGAGGACCCACAGGAGAAGGGAGACCGATGTATGGTAGGCAAAAGCCAGACCATGGTCAGGACCTCACGGAGAAGAAAAGAGTGGAAAGAGGAGAGATCCACCTTACACTGTGTTCCCCAACAAGATGCGAGGAAATTGATGAAAACAGCAGGAAAGACTCAAGTTAGCTGATAGGAGGAACTTCTCCTTAGCAAAATTTTAGAAGAAGACAAAAGCCCATCTGCCTGAACTATGTTAGAGACACAGAATTAAGGACCTTGGGGGGGTTGTAGTCTTAGCCCCATAACTGGCGTCGAGCCAAGATCCCACAACCAAGGCCTCTGATTCTGGACAAGGTGCTGCTGGGAGATAAACCACTTCCTGAAGAGATGCTCATCCAAGGATGGCAGGAGGAGGGCAGCCTGGCATTGAGGCTCCTCCCAAAACCACTTCACTTGCAGGAAGCTTTCAGGCCCAAACTCCACTGTCCCCTGCCTGGGTCTCAAAGGAGAAGTCAGGCCCCAAATCCTAACCCCTTGAATTAAGCAGCACTTTATAGGCAGCAAAGACCCTTCCCATAGTTTAATCACCTAGAAGAGAGCTCCCTGCTTCTAGGATCTGACTCCTAGCCAGTAATCCTTCTCACTCGTCACCCCCCTTCCTGCTCTTCCTCCCTCCCACAGCTCACAGGACTCAAGACCAAAGGCATTTCTGGGCACTGAGATCCTCCATTTCCACCCACAGCCATGAGCCGACGTGTGGTTCGGCAGAGCAAGTTCCGCCATGTGTTTGGGCAGGCCGCAAAGGCTGACCAGTCCTACGAGGACATCCGGGTGTCCAAGGTCACATGGGACAGCTCCTTCTGTGTGGTCAACCCCAAATTCCTGGCCATTATTGTGGAGGCTGGGGGTGGAGGTGCCTTCATTGTCCTGCCTCTGGCCAAGGTGAGGGATGAGGGGACGAAAGCACTTGGGAAGATGCTGGCTGTGGCCCCTGGGGACTCCTTCTACAGTCAGGAGGGCAGCTTGTATCCATCGGCTGCTCCCTGTTCCCCAGGCCCTTGGGGACCAACTCAGAGGCTCCCTCACCCCTGTTCCTCACCCAGAACAGCAGCATCACAGCGGCCTGCACCCACGCATAGCCCACCCCCTTCTCTGTGCAGCCCCCTGTTCCCAGCAGGGTCCAGAAGGCTATTGTGGAGATAGCTGGGAAGCAGTAGAGCCAGGGCCTGACCCAGATTCTGTTCCTGTCTCTCCTAATGTCACACCACCTCATGTTTTGGGTGTGGGATCTTTCTCCCCAGTGCAGGGTGACCATTTGATCAAATCATACCCCAGAGCAGCACACCCAGGACAGGATCAAGGTCTTTGCAAATAGTCCCTGGTCACCTCCCCACTATGGTTCTTATAGTGAGATAGAATGAAAACAAAGGGCAGAGGGACATAACACATAAGGCCAGACCACTTCCTACCCCAGGGATGGGGGCCCAGCAAGTACTGCCACCTTTGCTGAGTAACCTCAAGCCCCTTGGAAATCTGCACCCCCCAGGATGGCCACTCCAAGTCATGACCTTGATCTGGCCCCCACACCTTGTTAAGGGAGACCCTGCAGGTGGCAGGGTCAGGAAAAGGCCTGACAATAGCCAGTGACTCATTCAGGGACAATGCAGACATCATCCAAGGACACCATCCCCAGGGCTCAAATTTCAGCTGGAGCCACCTCCTCACCCAGTACAACTGCCATTCCAATGCCACACGGCCACCCCTCTCCCCTACTGCCTGGTCTGGACTGATGCCAGCCCCTGCAAAGGCCTCAGAGACCCCATAAAAAGCCCATAAAGACCAAAAGTAGATGAGCCCCAGCTTAGGTTGGGAACCTGCTGCTGGTGGTTCCAAGGTCAAGGGGGAGTTCTGCCAAGGGTGACTGGGAAAGGGCTGTTGGCCACTGCATTGCATATTACCTCATCTTGACCTCTTCTACTAGGGGTTTCCTACAGACATCCTAACTGGGGGCACAGGCCCAAGAATAGCCTTCTCCAAGTAGGTATTTTTGCAAGAGCACTGGGCTGAGAATTCAGGTCTTGGCTCAACCAGTATCTTGCTGTGGGTCTTTCGCTAAGTCATTACCTCTCTTGTGTCTGATCCCCTGATGTTAAATACTTCAACTCTCTTTGCCTTCAGTGAAATACAGGAAGTAGTTGGATGCGGTTGGAGGTGCAGAAAAGGGGTTTGCAAAGAGAAAAAAAGAGAAAATAGGTGATAGAGTATTGAGATGTAAACAGGTCCATTGCCCCCCAAAAACACACAGGAAATTGACCCTACAGCTCCCTCTCTGACCCCTCCAGACAGGACGAGTGGATAAGAACTACCCACTGGTCACTGGGCACACTGCTCCTGTGCTGGACATTGACTGGTGCCCACACAATGACAACGTCATTGCCAGTGCCTCAGATGACACCACGGTCATGGTAGGAGCCAAATGGATGCTGCGGGGCAGGGGAAGGGGGGAGGCCCGTCTCACCTGTGCTAGGGAAGGCGGAAAAAGAGGTGCCCTAGCCCTGCTCTGCCCAGCTCCCAGGCTATATTTAGCCACATGCCCACCCTTTCCCAGGATGCACTTCTTAGGACTAATTATAGCCATGGCCAACTTGAGGCCTGAAGAGCAAGGGGCAGTGCTCTGAAGTCTCCCTGCTGGGGTGCATGGAGAGGTCTCTGGAGAGCTGGCACTGCCCCCTCCTGGCTCCCAGCTGCTTCTGCCCTTCACAGACATCATTACATCCTGCCCTGCATTTGACCCTTACCACTCAAGAGAGCTGGTAGGGGTGGGCCATAGGGAGGGCAAAATTGGGGAGGAGTGGAGGGACAAAGCAGGCTACTCATTCCACTCACCCTATGCCTTTTCCTCCCTCCCAGGTGTGGCAAATTCCAGATTATACTCCTGTGCGCAACATTACAGAACCCATCATTACACTCGAGGGCCACTCCAAACGTGTGGGCATCCTCTCCTGGCACCCCACTGCCCGGAATGTCCTGCTCAGTGCAGGTCTGGGGGCCTAGGGAGGGGTCCCTACTGTAGGTGGGGGGAGGGGGGCAAGGCAGGACCCAAGTAACAGTGACTGGCTGCTCGGGGCAGGTGGTGACAATGTGATCATCATCTGGAATGTGGGCACCGGGGAGGTGCTCCTGAGCCTAGACGACCTGCACCCGGACGTCATCCACAGCGTGTGCTGGAACAGCAACGGTAGCCTGCTGGCCACCACCTGCAAGGACAAGACGCTGCGCATTATCGACCCCCGCAAGGGCCAGGTGGTGGCGGTGAGTAAGCTTGGCTCGGCCATTCCCCAACCCTTACCCCAGGGACCAACTATCAGGCCCCCGTACCGTCGATCCTCGATCCTCGATCCGAATCTCTAGTCCCAGCTCTCGCCTCCCCCGCCCCAACCCGAGGCCACCCCCAAACCCCACTTAAGCCCACAATTTTCTGCCCCGCTCCTGTTCCCTCCGTCTCCCTCCATCTCAGAAGCTCAGAGCAGTGCTCTGCGAGTTGTAACTGAGCAGGGGAGAAGCCGCAAGCTCTGTCCTTCCACCAGAACCTGCATGAAACCTCCCGGACCCCTCTCCTCTTCGCTGGCCGGCACCCAGCGCCGTCTTCCAGGGTCTGGGGCCCCCCCGACACCGGCTCTCCGGCGGGCCCCTTTCTGCCCTAGTGGACCCGCCGGGCGAGGGGACAGGGGGCAGCCCTCGCGCCCCGCTAGTCCTAGCTCGGTGCCCTGGGGGGGCGGTGGCACCCGCCTCGCCAGCCTCACTCTGGCGCGGGGCGCGGGGCGCGGGGCGCGGGGCGCGGGGCACGTGCTCGTCTGCGCCGGGAGCGCGCGGCGGGCGCGGCCGGGGTGGCGGCGGGGGCGGGCCGGCGGGCGCTCTAACCCACTAACCCCGCGAGCAGGAGCGAGCCCGGCCTCACGAGGGCGCCCGCCCGCTGCGGGCCGTCTTCACTGCAGACGGGAAGCTACTCAGCACCGGCTTCAGCAGGATGAGTGAGCGGCAACTCGCGCTCTGGGACCCGGTAGGCCAGGCCGCGCTGGGCGCGCGCGCGCTCCTTCGGGGGCTCCACGAGCGCCCTCCCAGGCCGCGGCCCGTGCGCGAGAAGGCGGAAGCGGCGCGAGGAGCTCCCGACCGGGAGAAGCCTCGCCGCGACCCCGGGGAGCCGGCGGACTTCCCTTGCTGTAGGGCCCCGCCTCCGAGCGCGCCTGAGGGCTCGGGATCGGCCGAGAGGCGCGCGCCTCCCGCTCCCTCCCGGCCTGGGGGCCAGCCGGGGCCCCCCGGAGGAAGCTGAGTAGTTAGGCCCTCTTCTGTCTCCAGCCCCCTCATCCCACCTCCCCGGCTCTCCCCCGCCAAAGTCAGCAAGCCGGTCGCTCGTCCCTCCAAGCTCCCCCAGGGCAGGCAGCTGGGTGACGCCTCTCCCTGTCTCCCCCTCCCCCCCCAGGAGAGGTTTGCGGCCCACGAGGGAATGAGGCCCATGCGGGCCGTCTTCACGCGCCAGGGTCATATCTTCACCACGGGCTTCACCCGCATGAGCCAGCGAGAGCTGGGCCTGTGGGACCCGGTAACGCAGCTGGAAGCTTGGGGTGTGTGCCCCGGGGACTGGCATCACGGGAGAGGGGCCAGGCGCCCCCGACCCGCCGGGCATGCCCACCTGGACTGGGCTGGAGGCTGCTGCCCCCTTTGCAGCGCCTGCCATCCCCACACCCACCCCTCTGCCCAGTTTTGCTGCGTCGCCTGAAGGAGCCCAGGCTGGCACCCCCACCTGGTGATGCCGAGTCCCTGGGGGTGGTTTGCGGTGACTGCATGCGGCGGCGCAGGGGCCAGATGTGCCGGCGGGCGGGGGCGCTGGGAGTGATGTGTCCGTTGGCGGGACGTGCGGCTCGGTTCACCAGAGCTGCCCTGGGAACGCATGGGCTGTGGAGCGGGTAGGAAGTGTAAAGGGGCTTCAGGGGATCCAGAAGTGGCACAGTGGCTGGGACAGAGCTGGTCACGCCTCCTGTGCCCGGGCAGAACAACTTCGAGGAGCCAGTGGCACTGCAGGAGATGGACACAAGCAACGGGGTCCTACTGCCCTTCTATGATCCCGACTCTAGCATCGTCTACCTATGCGGCAAGGTACTTGGGCCCGGGAGGAGTGGCAGGGCCTGGACGGACATGTTGAGGGCCCTGCCTGGGTGCGACTCCCAACACACTGGTTTTGCAGGGCGACAGCAGCATTCGATACTTTGAGATTACGGACGAACCACCTTTCGTGCATTACCTGAACACCTTCAGCAGCAAGGAGCCTCAGAGGGGCATGGGTTTCATGCCCAAGCGGGGGCTGGAAGTCAGCAAGTGTGAGATCGCCCGGTCAGCAGCCTTTGCCTTTCTCTCTTGCATGTCTGTCCCCACTTGCCATCGGGGAAGACAGAGTCTTCTCCAATAGTATCATCTTTCAGAAGGAGTGGGGGTATTTTGCAGGGGGAAGAGAAGGAGGGGGCTGGGGGGTGTGTCAAACTGGCTTGTTTCGATGCCAGCCCCCAGCGATCACTAGTGTAACATTCTCTAAACTTCAGTTTCCTCATCTGTAAAACGATGATAAGCCCCCCATCAGAGATGTTTTACCAACTGGATCAATAACGTGTTTTGAAGTGCAGTGCATGGTAGGGGCTCAGCAAGTGTTGGGTCTCCAACTTATTGGTCCCAGGCAGAAAAAGGGGTGGGAGCCGGCGGGGGTGCTGAATCCCGCTCCCTTGCAGGTTCTACAAGTTGCACGAAAGAAAATGTGAGCCCATCGTCATGACTGTGCCCCGCAAGGTGAGGGGGCCCGGAGAGGGGCTGGGCAGAGAGGGCTCCGAGGCCGAAGGGAACGGAGCAGCCCCGGCCCTCTGCTAACGCTGGTCTTCCTGCCCCCCCCCCCCCACAGTCAGACTTGTTCCAGGACGACCTATACCCAGATACTCCCGGCCCCGAGCCGGCCCTAGAAGCGGATGAATGGCTATCTGGCCAGGACGCCGAACCGGTGCTCATCTCGCTGAGGGACGGTTACGTGCCTCCCAAGCACCGCGAGCTCCGCGTCACCAAGCGCAATATCCTGGACGTGCGCCCTCCCTCTGGCCCCCGCCGCAGCCAGTCGGCCAGCGACGCCTCCCTGTCGGTGAGCTCCCGCTCTGCTCCACGCGGCCGGGCCCCAACCCCCCTCCCCACCGCGGCCCCTTCGTGACAAAGCCTCTCCCGCCTTCCGCGCCCCAGCAGCAGCACACCCTGGAGACGCTGCTGGAGGAGATCAAGGCCCTGCGCGAGCAGGTGCAGGCCCAGGAGCAGCGCATAACGGCCCTGGAGAACATGCTGTGCGAGCTGGTGGACGGCACCGACTAGCGCGGCGCGCGCGCGCGGGAAGCTCCGAGCCTGGGGGCGCGGCGGGGGGGAGCAGGACTCGGCCCCGCCCCGACTCTGGGTCCGGACTTCCGGACCCCGCCTCTCGGGGCGGGGGCTGGGGCGGAACTGGGCAGGGAACACCACCCCCTCGCGGGAGTCCTGGACGAATGGAGCGTCGCGAAGGCTCGCGTCCGCCTGGCACCCGCCGGGCTCCATGCCTCGTCCGGGACTCGGCAGAAGCTGGCCTCGGGAGCCCCGGGGTGACGGGGACCTCAGTGATGGTGCTGCACGGCGACGCGGTGTCCCTTCTGTCCCCCGCCCGGGGCAGGGGAAGTGCTTAGTATTAGCGCTATTCTTGGGGATATCGGGGCGCTTGGGCTTGACCTCAAAGGGGTGGCGATTCGACAGATCTCGCCAGACCGAACGGGGAGAGTTACAGGGCTTCCCCCTCTAATCAGCTCACTGGATTCCACTCCCCAAGTGGGAAAGCGGACGGATGTCACCCCAGTTCTACAGACATACACAAAACCCATTGGCTGTAGAGCCGAACCCACGGCTACACCCAGCAGTCTAGGGCAGAGGGCTGTCTTCCTTCTTTTCACCCGCAAGGGAGAGGGCGGCTTCCTCACCGCACCCCCGCCGGAGAACTAATCAGAAAACTGGCATGGAAGCAGGTTCACACCCTTCTTCCCACCCCCCACCCCCCTCTGCCCCCAGCCCTCTGCTGTGGCCTTGACTCTAGGAGGAAAACAAGACTTGCTGAATTTAATTCTTTTACTAATTGCTCAGTCTGTGCCTCCAGCATGCGTGGGGGTGAGGGGGCCAGACCCCCAACCTCTGCAAATGCTGTATCCCCAGGCTTGCAGGGGTGCTGACAAAGGCTCAGGACCCACCAGGCATTCTCTTACCTCAGATCCCTCCTCACACTGAGGTTCAGAAGGAACCCCGAAGCCGTAGGTGGGCGTTCTTTCCCAGTAAAGCCAGCTAGGAAAAGCCTTGGGTTTGAAGCCTCTTTTATTTGTGCCTCAGAGTCAGTCTGGTGCCCCTGGCATCAGGGAAGGAGGTGAGAGGAACAGTTTCTCTTTGTTCTTTTCTTCCGTCCTTTTTGTGTCCCTACTGAGCCTCACTGGCTGAGCCAGGAAGGCCAGCCTGAGAGAAGGCGGACAAGGGTGTGCGGTGGGCCCCTGCCCCTAGCGGGGTCTGTGCTTCTCTGGGTGGGTGGGGCGGGGCAGGGGAGAGCCGGGGTTAGCACCATTGGATGAAGGGTTTTAGAGTCAGCCCCTGGCTGGGGGCAGGTGGGACACACGACCACAGAGGGCTAGCAGCAGCTGGTGGGAAGGGGTCGGGGGTGGTGCCAGGGCCCTGAGCCAGTGAGAGGGCTCCAGGGTGCACCTGCCCAGAAGCGGGGCCAGGGGACAGGGTCTAGTGCTCGCCCCCGGCCCAAATATGTCCCCCGTTTGCCGAGACATCGTGAAGGAACCAGGCCTTGCCCAAACCGGGGGCCACCTTGGGCACCCTCCCTGATCACAAAAACGTGCCTTGGGGATGGGGACTCCAACCTCTGGCTGCCCAAGGAGAAACTGGGACCACCCTGAGACCCGGGAGGGGTGTGGGGGGCTGGGGAAGCCGGGCACCCCGCTAAGTGCACTTGACGCTGAAATGCCGGGGTGAAGGAGGGCTGGGCCCTTGACGCGCTGGTTTGTGTCTGGGACAAAGCAGCAACGCAGCACGTGGGGAGCTCAGCTGCCCTCCAGGGGTGAAGAGCGGAGATGCAAAGGCTTCACGGACAGTGTCCTACAGTAGGTTCTGAGAGCAGAAAAGGAGGACGGGCCAGAAGGAGCGAGGGATGGGGACACTGCTCCTCTAAGGACCCGGCTCCCCCTCTGGACGGCCTGGCCCCCTCCGACAAGTCTGAGCCCAGGACAGAGTGGTGGGCGTCAGGATACAGCAAAGCAGGGGTACCGGACCGTGCGAGCAGCCTCCGGGGCCCGGGCCGGGCACCCCGTGGCCGCGCGAATCCCTCCCCGTCTGGTGCCAGGTGAGCCGCCGCGCCTCCACGGTCCCGGCGGTACGCGGGCAGCCGAGCGAGTCTCGCTCCGGGGCAGGTGGCGCGGGGCGTGGCCAAGGGGCCGGGCAGTGGGCGCTACTGCTCCGTCAGCGAGAGCCGCAGGATGCGCTCCAGCTCCTCCTCCTCCTGGCGCGCACGCCGCCGCCGCTCCTCCTGCTCCTGCGCCGACAGCTCCATGGCCAGCCGCAGCTGCTCGTCGTAGCTCCGGAACACGTGGCCGCCAGGGCGCGGGCTGGGCCGAGGGCTTGGCACCGACGCCAGAGCCGGGGACCGCGCGGGCTGGCGCTGCGGCGTGGGCGGGGCGCTCCTGGGGGAACAGACGTAGAGGGTTCTGGGGTGCGCCTGCCCCTATGTCAGGGGGGCCGGGAGACGGCGTGGAGGCCCCGGGACAGAGGAGGCCTCGCCACCCTCCGGTGGAGGCAACGAGTCCTGCTCCACCTGGCTCCCACCCAGTTGTGACAGATCTCAGTCCCTGCAAAGCCCATCCGCCCAGCTGATGGGCCCATGTGGACATCATCTAGAACCCCAGCCCCAACCTCCTGCCTGGTAAGGGTCCGAAGGCCTGGAGGCGCTTTCGGAGTACTGCTCAGAGTGAGGAAAGGGTGGGGCGGGAGCCTTCTGCATACCAGTAGGGGCTCTACTGGGGTTACCATGGTTACCACGGTTCCTTGGGCCCCAGGGGAGCTGCCCAGCCATCGGTGTCCGCAGCCACTGGGACAGGAGCTGGAGGTGCTCCGTGCATGTGTTATTTCAGGGCAGGGATGATGGGTCAGGATCGGCAGGCACTAACCTGTCCTGTCGGCGGGCCTCGTAGGACATGGGGTGAGTGCCCGGCTTGCTGTTAGTAAGCGCCTCCCAGATGGTGACCTGGAGGGAGGGACGTGGCCAGTTAGCGAGGGTGGCACTGCAGTCCACCGTCCAGTAGGGCGGCGCAGCGGTGAGGCCGCACCTGGTCATACTCGCTGCCGGCCTCCAGCAGGCTCTGCTGGATGGCGAACTGCAGCAGGTCGTCGTCATCCTCGCGGGTCGCCGCCTCCCGCTGGCCGCCCAGCACACTGTAGCCACGTGGGGCCTCGAACAACGCGGGGGAGATCTCGCAGCCGCGGCACGAGGCTGAGGGCACCAAGCTGGGGGTCAGCGCCAAGCCGGAGGGGCCCACGGCCGGGGGAGGGAGCCGGCCAGTGCTGGGGGGAGGGGTAGGAGGGCAGACACGCAGCTGGGGGAGGTCTCACTGGAGGAACTGGAGCTGCTGACGCTGGAGGAGTCGCTGCCCGGGGAAGGGGTCTCACTGCCAGGGCTGCCCCGCACCGATGGCACCGGCTCGTCGCAGCCATTGAGGTTTCCAAAGGTGATGCGAGCGTTGAGGATGTGGAAGATGGGGATTTCTGAGGGGAAAGAAACAGTGGGTGCCACTGCCGACCTTCTCACACCTTAGGCACCCTCAGTCTTTACCCCATCTAGACCCCACCTGCCCCCAACACACACACACCAGCAGCTGCAAGGAAAGGGCGGGTGGGGTCTCACCAATCTTGACTGGGAAACCAGGTGGCAGGCGCAGGGTAATGAAATCCCGGAGCTTGGCGAAAAGCGCATTGCTGACAGCCATGAGGTCAATGATGGGGGCCACCTGCTCACACAGGGACAGGGGATGCTCCTCACACAGCCACAGCTTGGCCTTGAACCTGCCCCCCCAGATCCCAAGGGGTGAGGGGCATAGAAGCCATGGCCTCTCATACCTTTCTGGAGGGTTCCCCTGCCCCGCCCTGCCCACCCCTCCCCAGCACCATCAGGGGGCCTCACTTCTGTGTCTTGGTGGTCAGTTCCATGGGGCGGCCCATGTCCCGGTTGCCAAGCTCAAAGTTGGGGTTGAAGTACTCTTCTGCAGTGATGGCAGTGGGGTTGGCTTGGCTCAGAGTCTGAGTGATCAGGGTCTGTACCATATGAAGAGGTGCCCATGAGCCCTTCTCAGTCTCTGATGCCAGGCCAACCATTTGATATCACGGGGCCCCAGGGCGAGCCCCCCTGCCACTGTGGAGCCGACATTGTCCTGGGCAGCGTGTAAAGTGGTTCCACATGGGCCACTCTAGGCAGGACGCCTTCCAGGCCTCCTGAGCCACATCCACACCCTTCCATACATGGGCACCCCAGCACACACTCACCCCATTTTGGGGGCCCCCATGCTGCTCAGCAATTCCCAGGAAGGACTGCAGAGGTGTCTTACAGCCTACAAGAAATGTGGCATCTCAGAGGACATTGCAGCCCTGAGAAGTGACAGCACCCAGACCCAGGGAGCAGACTAGGTCTTGGCAGGTCGGGAGGACGGCTCGCCCATGCCAAACACTCGGACACCTGCATCTGGAGGTGATTAAGGACTCCAAGGGACAGGGGCCAGGACCACTACAAGCACAGCAGGGACAGAAGGAGACCTGGGGCTCCAGAGAAACTTTCAAAAGTGTCCATATTGGTGACACTGGACAAAATATACCTGCCTTTGGTGAGCAGTTTTGCGGTGTGCGTGTGTGTGCGTGTGTCTTCCTTCAGGCACTTCCACCTTAATTACCTCATTTAGTTCCCCTGTGAGGTAGGAACCATCTTTCTAGACAGACTAACTCATGCCTGGAGAGTCAGGTGTGAGGTCAAGAGGCACAGAGGATCAGTGGCAGGCCCCGTGGCTTACTTCTTAGGATATGCTCCATGAGACTGGGATGGCCAATAAATAGCACATGTGACACTTGCACCTCAAATCCAATGCAGACATTAATTACCAGTTACAGCATTCCTTCCCATTGGGCCCAAATGTTGCCTAGAATCTTCCTGGCTGCACTCCAGGCAGTCACTCCCAATTATTAGCATTCGGCACTTGAATTGAAACGTGTTTGCATGAATAAACTCTCCTGGCTTTTGCTGGGACGTCACAGGGAAGACTGGGGGAGGTACTCCAGCAGGCGCTGCTTCCTCACACTCCCTCGCATTCCACCTCTGCTTAGTTACCTTTGACCTTGCCCTTGTGCTGTTCTGAAAGGTGCTCTGTCCGTGTCCGGGTGATGAGCTCCACGTTGGATGCCCCATATACCTGGGGACAGAAAGGGCTCAAAGACAATGCTGGTACGTACCCTACCCCCTACCCCCAAGGGCATTATGAACACTTCTTGCAAGGAAGGGGTCCACTAGGGGATGGAGGAGCTGTTTACTCCAATTATATGAAGTCATTCATCCATTCTCTTATTCATTCAACAAACAGTTTGTGAAGAGCCTTTAAGTGCCAGGCACTGAGGCAGGCATCAGCCCACAGTGAACAAGCATGACTATAGAGACAACCCTCATCTTTTGAGGTTCACAGCTAGTTGAAGACACAAGGAAATGGAGAGTTATAATGCAGCATGAAACACATTCTATGTGTGTGTGTGGCGGGGGGAGAGGGCTGTGGGAACCAAAAGGAGAGGCCTTAACCCAGCCTATGGGGCCAGAGAAGCCTTCCAGGGGGAAACCTTGCAGAGCCATGTCAGTTCCTTCATTCACCAGTGACACCATGTGGCCCCACATGGGTGACAGGGATCCCAGAGTGACCCGCACAGTATCCTCAGGGGGTAAGGGCCAGGCTTTGGAGCCAGGCCACCAAGGTCTGAACCTCAGCTTTGCCACTGATAGCTATGTGACCCTGTCCAGGTCATGAGACCACTCCAAGCCTGTTTCCTCATCAGAGAATGGGCCAGTACTGTATTCCACAGAGTCCTGGTGAAGATTAAATGGGATGCTGTGGGAAAGGCTCAAGAAACACCTGTAAAATGGGAATACTGACAGCACCATCCCCAAAGGGTTATTGGGATTGAGTGAGTGTGGGTGTGTACCTGTATTCATATACACATCCAAAGAAAATGGGGACCAGTGCCTCGACCATGAGTACAGTAAGTGCTCAATAAACTCTGGCATCCTCAT